TTTTTCAAAGGCTTAATGATCTTTATTTTAACATCTTATTTTGCATAGGCTTTGGACTGAAAGCCGGAAGCTTGCGTATTTGAGAAAAAAACTTAATTAACTAGAGAACATCCCTCCTTGTTATTATATGCGAGCCAGTTCGCCCTTTTGTTAATATTGTTTTTCCATGGGTTCGATTCAAACTATTACTTTAAAAGTTAATGATTTTTAAATATAATAACCTCTTAGCTAATATCATATCATATTTTATTCTTTCAGAGCCTAAATTTGAATACGATGCATTCGTTATTTACAGCTCCTACGACTCGGACTGGGTGATTAAAACTCTAATTCCAGTTCTTGAGAGAAAGCATGGTTTTAAATGCTGTGTACACTACAGAGATTTCGTTGTTGGAGTACCTTTTCGTGAAAATATGGTCAACAGTGTTTAGAAGTCTAGAAAAACAATAGCAGTCGTGTCTAAAAACTTTTTCAACAGCAATTATAGTGGTTCTGAGATGGATTACGCCCTCCATCGACTTATGGAAAGGAAAGATGATAGTGTAGTCGTCATCAAACTTGATGACGTTGACAGAGGAAAACTTCCTAAGGAGTTGCGAAAAAGGAGTTATATTGACTATCCAAAGACTGTTGAAAAGGATCACTGGGAAAGAAAACTAGTTCATTGTTTAAAGATCCCAAACAATCAGCTACAGGAACAGATTTTGTAAGAAGTTCTCTTTTGTTCATGCAGTCACTAATTCGAACTTTGGTGGTGTATGAGAAGTTAAGTGACGGTTGAATTTCCTTCCAATTCCTTGTGATTTCAAGTGAGACATCACCTACTTAAATACGCTCAGGCTTCCCAGAATTATGTAATTTTGTTATGGATTGTGTTAAAACTTTAACATTTTAAGTTTTATAAACCAGTCTTGTAGGAAACTTGAAGAAAATAGTATTGAAATAAGTGAGGATGACTGTAACTAATGTATACAGGGGTTGGGATGGAAATGGGTCTTTTTTTTTATCGTGGATCTACCGTATGTTAAGTGAATTAGAACTTGTTAAATCACAAGATCTAATGAGACCCATTATACGAAGTCCTCATAGAAAGAATGTCATTAAATTCTCTATTTTCACGAGGGCCAATGCTTTTTATGAGCAAACGTGCACGAGGATCCGGTTATTGGCAAGTTATTCACTTTGCTTCACTTTTTTTCGTCAGCAAAAGACTGAGTAAATCGAAAATCATTTATCATTCATATTGAAAAACTGAAAAACAGAAAAACTTAACATTACTTGTAATTCATAGAAATATGTCTTTCTAACAAATGTCAACCGTTAAGATCCCTGAAATTGAACCATCACCGTCAAAAGCCGTAAAAATTAACCGTCAATGGTCAAACTAAAAAAAAAATGGACTGTCAACCGTGAGACCTATCCTCCCTCGCCCCCTGTTAAGCCCCCCCTCCCCCCCATTAAATCCCTCTTTGTTACCTCTTAGTACAATCACAGTTACTTAACATGAAAATATTGGTCAATGCTTTCGGTTCATCAAAAAAAATTGCATGGTTTCACACCCCTTCTTGAACAAAACCGATTACTCGGAACTGCCCCTGTCATTCTTGCAAATGCTCTGCAAATTTTCAAACCGTGGTATTATCATTACTCTGGGATAGGAAGTGTTTAATTACAAAGTATACTTGACTTAAAAAGCCTGTCGAAGTGTAAGTTATCGTGAGTTTTCCAACCAAAGAGATGCATGCAGTTTTCAGCATTTTTCAGTGTTCTTTCTACTTACAAAAGGTCAAAGGCAAAGGAAATACATACATTTGAGCTTCCCATATGGCGTATTTTAATGAGCCCTTATCATGTAAATATTCCTCTCCAATTTTCTAGAAGCCTGAGAAATTAAGAAGCCCAACCCCCAACCCCGTCCCCCACTCCCCAATTAAAGCGTTTTCATTGGGCAAGCTGTAATCTTACTCCAATCTAGTAAGTAGGAGTCTACCGGGTTAAGATATATTTGCTTTTCTGCCTTTCTTTACCATATGGTGGACTGGAAATATTAGAAAGTCATCAGAAATGCAAGCCTAAATCGTGTGCGTGATAGAATTTGACATTTGTGTTTGTAAACAACAAACTTGACCGGAACTGATCAGGTCACGAAATGATAAATATCCCTTTTAAACTTTCCAGATATCGAAGTCCTAAAATTTGCCAGCATTACTCTACTCTGCTATTAAAGATATACTCAGCAAGAAACATCCTCTGCATTCTTTGAAGAAACTGGTAAATTAACATCAATTTTGTTTACTTTTAACTACACACGTCAACATTTGATAAGTATTGTGAGATGTTAGCGCCAGGGGAATTCATGTCACAATTAGCAAACTCTGCGCAATGATTAAACGGCAAATAGCTTCAAAGTGCGTTTCGTTTTAACAATATATACCTCTTCCCTCGCACACCTCCTCCATCACTCAAATCTTCGCAAGTAAGTCATTGTTCATCCTTTATAATACAAGAATAATTTTTTTTAAATTCTGTGGATAAAAGAAAAGTGAACTTGGTGCAAATTAGCATCTCAGGCGTAAAATCTCGAAATCACGTTAGGTCAGGGACCTTGGTATCTTAACTTATATTTTCAGGATCTTTATTTTTTTCGGTGGGTAGCGGTCGTTACGTTCTAGAAAACGACAACTGAAAAATAAAGTCCCTAGTCCTTTGTTGTTTATACCAGATCTTCATTTAAAATTTAACTGTCCTTTTGGTCCAGAGTTTATACGTGGCAGCGAATCTTGTTTAGGGGACCACATTGATACAAGTACCTATCAAATAATTCCTTATAAAAAATAAATCAAATACACAACCAAAATCATTTTGTGCGACCTGTAGAATCAATCCAAAGCCACTGAGCAGATTTTTTGGGTAGCCTTATCATTTTGAGGTTGTCTACGATTGACATTTAACACTGCTAAAACTTTCGCTGTCTTTCTATGCTCCTTTTGAACTTGAAAATAAAAAATCCAGAATATTTGCATTTGGTCTCTTTTTGTACATGATGGGGTTTGATCGTGAGAAAAACCGCAGGATTTTATTGCCACACCTTGCTATCTTTCAATAGCTAATTAAAGGCCCTAGCTTAGCCAAAGGGGCATTTTTGTTAAAAAATAAAAATAAAAAAAAACCGCATCGAGTTTCCATGAGTTTCTGTTCATAAAAGGAAAAATGTCTAACAGAGATTATATAATAAGCTCAGTTATGCACGTGTTTTGATTGGTTCTCACTTATGATCTATTGGAGGACAGACGTATAGATGACATCATCATTAAAACTTTTTTTAAAATTCTTTATTATATAAAACAAATAGATTCCAAGTTGCCGTGCGTCTGTTCAGTAATAGATCACAGAGGACGTCAAAATGTGGTAAGAACATCAGTGGCACACTCGGCTGCGCCTCGTGTGCCACTTTTTTGTTCTTACCACATTTTGACGTCATCTGTGATCCATTACTGAACAGACGCACGGCAAATTGGAATCTAGTTGTTAAATTGACAACTGATAAAGTGCGCTTTCAAATTGTATGTTGAGGAATATAAACCGGTCAATGCTTATCAATATGAGACTTTATATATATAGTAGAGTAACTTGCAGTTTTCGATCGCTAATTTAAAAGCTAAGTTTAATTATAGGCTGAGGTCGATTCTCCAAAATTCAAAAGTAGTTGTTATCAAAGAGTTTGTTTTTTAAAAGAAATTCCTGCGTTCGAATGACAGATATGTTTAAGACCGATTTTACCAAATTTAAGGCATGACTTTTTATGACACAACAACTAGACACTGAGTAAAGCCTCGAGGGAGGATGAGGAAATACTAAGCTTCTGCTTTTTGTTTTGGTCAGTTTGATGTTGTCAAACTTTTTCATTTGAGGGCGGACTCGTCGTGATGGCAGCGCGTGAAACCGAAAGGGGTATTTTCAATGCTGTTGACCTCCAATTTCCCAATAAATCTAAAACCTCTTTAACCCTGACGAGACACAAGGCATTCAATTCACTCTGTTACAGTTTACATTGATCAGATTGATGCTGCGTGAAGTATTAAAATACATAATTTCTTACTCATTAAGATTCTATCTAACAAAGCCCTTTCACACCTCTATAGTGTGTCTTGTTTTGTCATATGATGCCATGCTTTACCTTGTCACACGGAGTTCACAATCACTATGAACCGGACCGAAATGACTACCAATATTTTGCAATGCTTTATTGCGTATGATTTATATTTTCCAAACTAGTAATCAGCTGAACTTAGTACTTGTTCGAACTGCGTCATATGTAAGAGAGGATCTGTGATCAATTCTTGGTCATGTGCGATACACGTATTGCTACAAACTGCACAATTTGATTGTAGAAGGGATTAAATTGAAATGAAGAAACCACGACTGATCTGACCCTGTACATCCTAGCATTGGTATGCATATTCTCCCTACTGTTTCCCATACATTTCTTGAGATGGTGATAAGGAGAATTTGTTCGACTATTACGTCTGTTATCAGTCTCGTGGCCTTAATGTTTTAATCAGTGCTGATAGAGAAATTGGAGGATAATTTTATCTTTGGAGAGTGTCTCCCCGTTGATGTAGGTTGGGTAATACCGCATATAACGGGATCTTAAACGGTTAATAATTCAAATTAGGGCGTAGTTTGTAATTTGGAAATGTGCCCTCTTTGTTGAAAGGAAAGGCCCGTGGAAAATCTTGAGTAGGGACCATTAAGCGTTTGGAAAAGAAAAAGTAAACATTAATGAACTAACTTTCAGCATAAATTTGCGAGACATAAGGGAAGCTGTGAGTGTGTGTGCCTGTATAGCCTTTCTTGTTTTATGGGTGTCGCTGGGAGATTATGCAAAAATCGTGGGCTCCCCATCGAAATACAAAAGCCCGAATGCAAGTTGTAAATGTGTACGTGATGGTATTTCAGAACTGGACCCTCTGGGAACCGAAAAGATTGACGTAAGGCTGACACATTTAGGATACGTATCGACAGGGAGCACGCGATGTAAAATTACTTTGACGTAAGGTATTTCAACAAACTGCACCCTAATGTAAGGTTTCTTGAGTGCAGACTTCGAAGCGTTGTCGACTATCTAAACTTTTCTTTAACTACGTAATTGCGTTTCGGAGGGATCACCTTAGAGCTAAAGCAACTGGAAGAATCAGACGTAAGTACGGAAGTGAGTTTGCTTCATTTCATTTTTCACCGCGGGTTACAGTCAATTTTAAAGTGATCTCAATAAAGCTTGTACTGTTAACTTAGCTTCCTTCATTTAAGATTTAAAAAACCTAGCGTAAACTTGTAAATCTCTTTAAGAAATACAACTTTACACAATAAAACCCTTTTCATGAGCCAAACTACTAATGGTGATGAGGACATGAATTTTTCTCAACATTTTGATCGATTCTCTAATGTGTTGCGAAATGGCGACCTTTGTTGGCAATGTAACAGCGAAATGACTCCGTGTCAGATTTAACAGAAATTTAAAGATCTGAAATTGTTAAGAGTTAGGATAAAGTCTACAATCAATGCTGAAGACATTTGACAACAATAATTTTCAGTTCTTTTGATCTACCCTGAAGGGGGGCCAAGTTGGAAGCATCGTAACTGATCAGCCTAACGGAAATTTTATGAACTTCTTTCCTTTCACCTTCGATTCGAAGAAGTGTGACCTTTTAAATTATTCAAAAGTGGAGCCAACAGGGGTTTACATTAACCTGATATGTCATAATACCTGATTCATAAGATTGGTTTGCCGTTTCTATAGCCGTGCCTGGATGTATCTTCGCAGATTTTACTCCAAGAGTTCTCATTCTAGATTTCCTCGTAGTGTTAATTAGCAATTTGCTTGACTGGCATTACCTTGAAAAAGAACATAGTGTTGGTTGAGAGTCCTGTTGGCCCGCGCAAACGGAACAACCGAACCACTTGTCTCTTACTTCGCTTCAGAATAGTTATTCGCCAAGTGTAATTTACAAGCGTTTGCCATTACATCCGGTCCATTGGCGTGATTTCCAGTTTTAATGAGCTGAACTTTATCCTTTGACATTTTTACTACTAGAGTTTCGCTGTCGTTGTAATTAAAATTTCGGGACATGGCTGTAATGAACTTTGAAAAGAACATAACACTTTTTTTCCGAGTTGCGTTTGCTTGACAAAAGATTGCTTTAAATAGCGGTTGTGCCACAGTCTTCCAATCAAGGTATGTTGCTCCTGTGTTTTGTATTTGGGCGTTTGGATAACTTTTCGTTCGCTTCCTTTGACTGATAATCTAATATTTCGCATATTTTCAACACTAGAGCATATCATAGATCTGTTTACATTTCTGTGGTCTCATTCGCAAGAACATAAAGAAACCTTTGATGCAGGCTTTTCGGTAGTTGTTTCAGGGAAATCATTGCGAAAGAGCGTGCGTTGATCTCGTAGTTTTCTGATCGCTTGTAGCTGAAGCATTCAGAGGTAACTTGAATTTTTCAAGACCTCTAGAAATAAGTTAATCGCATTGATCTGGTAATTATACATTTTGACCTGACATTCGAATGCAACAAAAGGAAAATAATGTTCTGCTCGTTGACAGGTATTTGTAGAGATAGGGGCTAAAACGTTCCTGCAAATTTCTAGATCAGATTTTTCATCGGCAGGTTTTGATGAACAAAAAATGCTGAGATGAAATTAAGTTTGGAGTCAATTTGATGCAATTCATGTCATATATTATTTTTATGTAGCTCAGAGAATTGCAAGGAGAAAGTAATCATTGATCACACTTACTGGTATAGGGGTGAAGCAAAACTTTCAGTACCCATAAGCTAACATTATTTGATGCTATAATTTTCCTTCAAGAGTGCTTTAAATCCTACTTCACTAACAACATAACTTGACAGGAATAGGCATGTTACTAAAAATAATTCTTTAAAGCTTGACTTAGCAAATTCCATGTCTTAAAATGTTAACTTGCTAATTTATGCCAATACTTATTATAAACACTGATATCCTCTTTTTACTATTTTTAAGTGTTAATCATCATTTTCCACTTATCATATGGTGTATTGCTAGTAAAGACACTGCAAACTGTCAATCCAATCAATCCTATGCAACTTGAATAAGGCAGCAAACATGATGAATTTTTAAGTTTAAGTTCAAAAGAGCAGGGATGCACATTTAAAATTCAAAGGTATAAGGAACTCACAAAGATAAACTTGAATATGATGACTACCAGACACCTGGAAGTTGGTGCTAGACATCCTTGATATTGGCAACAATAGAAAGCCACTGTAAATTATAGAGTCTATTTAGTAACTGCAATCAGTGGTTTATAAAGTGAAAATAAAGAAAAAAAGAATAAACTTTTAGTGGATTTAGAATGACAAATCTCTCATGTAACAGGGTCAGTTGACAGTGACTTATGGCAGGTGTTGGATAGTGGTGAGCCAGCACATTTTTCTTGATTACCACAAGAAACAGAGGGAGAAGGTGTATTCCAGCATTTGTGCAGAAAAATCCATCTGGAAAACTCTTTTGGACTCCTCAGACACTTCTCTCTTTAATTTTCTGATTGCTTAAGGATGTTTTTTAGGCACTATATATATGGTCTCAGGTTCCCAGCATAACCTTTACCCTGGATACAACTTTATGGAGCTCTTTTAAGGATTCAGAGTTGTAACAGTTGTTCCTTGCCCTAAACTGACCCAAAATGCACAGACTACAGAAGGCTGACAGACTAGCCAAAGTTTTCATATGAGAAAAAGTTGTTCTGCCTGATAGGGTCACCCTACTGCCAACTGGGGTAGGAGAACATGCCCTCCTAAGTTATCTTGTCCTCTAAAATGAGTTTGCCATTTACAAGTAAGTTGGTTGAATTTTTCAAAGAAATAAACGAAAAGTTAGCAGGCCAGGGAAACTCAAGGTAGGATTGTCTTGGGAACCAGAGATCATATAGGTGGGCCTTTATGTCTGGTGTGGTGTAGTTGTAACACAGTTTTCAGAAACTTTAATAAACTTACGTTACTAACTCTAGCTTGAAAAGTTCAGTTTAACTTTGTATAATAAGTTGATTCAAAACAAGGGTATAACCTTAAAAAGAAAATAATGGGGGGTTTCACTAGGCCATAAAAAGAGTTTTAAATTAACCTTTTTTTCCAAAAAAATGAGATAAAAATTTCTACTTGAATTAATAAGCATGGGTGATTTCGTTTTGTGGAGGAGGGCAGGTTTGATGGGTAACTGACTTTGAAATCTAAGTGAAAGCAACTGTTATATTTGTGTTGGTAAATAATTGTGGCCATATGTGACTATCTATCATCTCTCCATGCTGACTGTGTTTTTGATTCACCAATGCAAGACTTTGCATCAGTCTTACATTTCCCAATTTCAACTGATCTTGAGGGAGTTCCACAAGACCCAGGACAGCAATTCAGTATTCAGTATCAGTATTCCTTGACCTCTGTGAATTTGCACAACTATCTGAACCCTGTTTCAGAGGGAGATGAATGAGAAGGAGCCAAGTCTTTGGAAGCAATTTCTAATATGGAAATGAAGCAGGGTAAAGTTCAGGGTATTCATTTTTATCCAGAATCCAGAACAGACTCTGCACATCTGTTAAGTGGGAAAGTCCTGTCACTATACCCTATGCACAGAGGGTAACTTCATGTTCCTGCTGTCTTTGGGTGAAGAGTATACCAAGTGTCTAATGAAATGGTATTTTGAGATAGTTCAAGGGGAATTGTTACAGAAAGATCCAATGAAGTCGCTAACAATTTTCTTTTTTCAGGCTGTAATATAGAAACTACCAGTAGTTGTTATTGATACTTTTTAATTGTCATTGTAAAACAAGAAAGATTTAATAAAAAGTTATTTTATTTGGTTCTTATCCTCAGGGTTCATTTATAGACTGTAAGCAGCTTAATAAATTTCTCGACTAAGGTAAAATGAGGCAGAAAAAGTGGGAAGTGATTTGTCCATTGTTCTTGGTTGTTTGTGTGACATTTACTCTTCTACAAATGAAGTGCTTCTCCAGTCCATCATCTACATGTTCAAAGAAGATAAAGCGTCACTTCCGCCTTCCTCCCATTGAAAGGTTTCACATGTCCTCTGTAGAAATACTTGGGTGGGATTACCAGCCAGAAGATGAAGTTGAAGCAAGACTGGCCAGGAATGTTGTGAAGTATGTCTTGATGGTTCCCCACAAATTACAACCATGGTTGAAATCTCTTGGTGTGGCTGGCCTGTCCTTGCAAGACAAACAAGAATTACAGAAGCTATTACAGTTCCTTGATGCAAGTCCAAACTTTGATGGGGCAATGGGGGTATTGACCCAGGTAAGAGTGAAAGGATTCAACAGTGCCAAGACTCTTCTTGAAGAAAGTAGCTGCACATTTCTGGTTAAAAACTGGACAATGAGTATTCGCAATTTTGGACCAATTCACCCCCATGAACCCAGTCACCGTGAAGATGACAGCAGCAAAGCTACTAATTGGTTTCAAGAGTGCAATATTGCCGAAACAGCATTTGTTCTTCGCAAAAGTACCTTTCAGTCCCTGAGGTGGCGTGCTGAATGTGGTAGCATGAGTCATCTTGACTTCTTTAAAAGGTCAGAAGGACTCCTGAAAATAGGTAAACTATCAAACTGCTTTTTCTCGCCTGCCATAACATACTTTGATCACCAAATCCTTCAGAGCACTGGGTATTATCTCGATTATTCCACACTTGGCCAAATACACAGCATCTTACGCATAGTACGTCCAGATAAAATCGAATGGACCAAGTGCACAGATGACAAGCAGTTCTGCCCTGAGAAACCTTTGACCTCTCGCCCAAACACTCTTGCTGCAGCTGATGGCTATCCAATCTGTTGTGATGTGCTCATGGATGAGATCTTGTCCACCCTCGTGGATGCCATGAATCAAGTTGGAATTGAGTATCGTGTCGTTTATGGGACACTCCTTGGTGCTGTGAGAAGCCAGTCAATGGTTCCCTATTCAGATGATGTAGACCTTGCAATCCACAAAGCTGACAATGACCAGTATGAAAAGTTCCAGTTGGTGCAAAGGATTTTGGGTTCCAGGTACTTTGTGGCATGGAAAGCGAACCCCCCAGTCACCAGGGTTTTTGCACATTATGCTCCAACAGTGGCCATAAATACTCAACATTTCTTCAAAGGGGCTGATAGCTTTGAGAGTGATGCTTTATTCAGTAGCAAGATCCTCAAAGAGATGGAGAAACTTCTTCCAGTAAAGAATGTTGCAGTAGAGCAGCGCTATGTTGATGTTTACCCCTCTCCTGAGGAATGGTTTGAAAATTTCACAGAAGTTACAATAAACAATCGACGCTATCATACTGTAGGTAATGCAGATAAGATGCTAAAAATGTGGTATGGAGATTACATGAAAATTAGACCTGAAGTACACTCGCAAAATACATTAGCAACATAGAAGAACAGTTCTAAATAATGCTCCCAGTAGTTAGAAAAGGGCAAATGCAATTTATAAGAAAAATGTGGGGTATGTTTCAGAACAGTTCTCCCAAAGACATACAGTGCTTACAGGTCTTGCTCATTAGCTTGAGTGAAATGTGCATTAATTTCTATACATGGAAAAGTTTCATTAAAGTTGCACTAAAGGGGTCCAACTGTAGGTCACAAAAAAGCTTGACAGATCAACATATTTTTGCAATCATATAACTTATGGAGCTGAAACATATATGCCTCCAAAAAAGTGATTTTTTTCCTTTCCTTATTTATGTTAATAAATTTCAAATAGTGATATGGAAATATGAGATTCATTGGAATTGTACTGGGAATTGAGGTATATTTTGTGCGCAAACAGTTTGAGACTGATTGACAACGTTGAAGATTTTGCTGTCTTCTGAAAGATCATAAAAAGTTGATATTAACGTACAAAGTAAGATAGCATACAAACCTTTGTATAAAGCTCTCTATTCAATAAAAATATTGTTAATGCTTCTCTAAGACTGATTTCTTTCTTAGATTTATTTATTGAGATTCATTTGAGCAAATATCATAATCATAACTTTGCACAGGTTTTACTTAAAAGTAATTTTTGGGTGGGTAGACAAACACTACTATCTTGGCTAGGCTGGGGTGTAAGATAGCTTTTGTTTAGTGTCAATTTCTTTTTCTCTGAGGATGGTCTTGTACATCAAGTCTCTTTTTAGTTCAACAGAATCCCAAGAGGGTAGTTTTGACAAGTAGTTTCTTTTGTGTTAATTATTTTAAAGTAGGGTTGAAATGGGATTCATGTAAAAAATGTAAGGTTCATGTAACTATGTAATAATATTCTTATGCTAAAACTGTGTTAGATTTCTTGTCTCTCTGTTTTTGTTCTAGCATGGCTTAGAAATGAGTTTTACCCTTTACACCCTAACATCATTAAGCATATTCTCCATACATTTCTTAAAGTGCTGACAAAGATGATTTGTATAACAATCAAGAGCTTCTTTAGTTGGAGATTATTTTCTTTATTCTTCTAACATTGTCTGACTCAGGGGTGATATTTGGGGAGAAATAAGATGAAAGTCATATTGGGGACAAAGAGTTAAGTCAGACCATCGTTGAGTACACATGCCTAAGCTGTACAAAAAAACCACTTTGGGAACTGGGCCTCCTTGTTGATATCATTATCCTTTCATGATAACTTTTGACCCTATACATCATTGTGTTGGTAAGCATATCCTCTATACTGTTCTCCATGCATTTCCTAATGTGCTGACAAGGAGAATTTGTTTAACAATCAAGAGCTTCTTTAGTTGGTGATTAATTCCTTTATCATCCTGACGTTAATGTTTGATACAGGGTTAACAGTTAAGGAGAAATTAGATGCTAGTCATTCTTGGGGTCACAAGGTTAAGTTGTACCATGATTGTGTACACATGCATAAGCCATACAAAAAACCACTTGGGAAGTGGGCCTTCTCATTAGATATCATCACTCTCAAAATATCCATTTACCCTTAAAATCCTAACATCAGAATGCATAATCTCCTTGCTGTTCTTCATACAGTACTTGAGATGCTGAGATGGATAATTTATTTTACAATAGGGAGCTCCTTGAGTTTGTGATTGTTTCCTTTATTCTTGAGACTCTTATGTGTAATTCAGGGGTGATATTGTAAGGAGAAATTAGAAGCTGGTCATTCTTTAGGGTCATAGTCTTTGAATAGTTAAGAAGAGGGTTTGTTCAAGAGCATTGCAATTATTTCTGTAATCATGTGTTTTTTTCTCTTCCCTCAAGCTCTTGTCAGTTAATGAATTAATTTTTAAAAAATTTTCAGGTTGGGGGAGAAGGGTTAAACACCTTCATTACCTTTTGTATATAACATGAGCTTCTTGGATAACATTTCAACTTGTTTTATAATTATTATGAGCAATTGAAGTCAAATATTTATTTAGAGGTTAGGAGAGGGTTCTGTATAATTCAGTCATTTCCAAACTCTCTTGTCTGGTAGAGATTTCACAAATGACCTAAATACTCTTTAAAGTTAGTACATGGTAATTTGGTTGTTTTCTTTTACAAGGTCATGTTCATCTATTTTTGTTAACACTTTACACACATCCTAACATCATTAAGCATATTCTCCATACATATCCTGAGGTGCTGACAAGGACAATTTATAGAAAGCTGGATAAAAAGCTTAAGAAAAGTTAAACTATCCTTATTAGGGGTTAATGGGTTAGTAGCATGTCAGAGATCTGTCACAGTGATTGTCATATTGGCTTATTCAGGTGGGTTGTACAATACAAACCTCATTTGATATAATTTACCCCAATCATGTAATATTAAAACAAAAATCTGCTACATTAATTCTCTGAACAGTTAAGATGATACTCCACTCCAATTATCTGTTTATTAATGATCAAAACATAATACAATGCTGAAATGTTATGCATATTTCTTTTTTCACACTGTTTCATGAGTTTATAATAGATGACAGACTGAAGTACATTGAAAAGCATCAAATGCCCTGAGAAATAGAAAAGTCCCCCATTCCAGGCTCACCAGTCATCTTGAGGCACTAGAAAGATACAGAAGAACCTTAATGTATATTGTAATTAATTGATAATTCTGATCTGAATAAACTCATCACATCTGTAAATAATATAACAAGCCAGATCAACAGATCAAATGGAAAGCAAACCCCAACCTATTCCATACTGTTTGCTTTACCACTTGCAGCATACACAGCCAGGTAACACTTAATTCAATACAGTTGTGGGGAAAAACTAACTCTCGGGCTCATTTGACTCTTACAGAGTTATCTTGGGGAAATGCATGTATACATCTTGTATTGGTATTCATTCTTTAATGTTCAGAATATATAAGATTTTAGAAATTATTGCATTAAAGTAACTGAAGTTCAAAATGTGGGTTTATTATTTTTTTTTGGGGGGGGGGAGGGGAGGGGAGGGGAGGGGAGGGGAGGGGAGGTGTGGTTTGTTGAGTGTCTTGTTATTACCTTTTCATTCGCCAGGTGAAGAATGCAGACAAAGGCAATGGATACTGAGAGATTCTTAGCCATGTTCTTGGAAAGCTTTTCAGGTAATTTAGTATAGATTTCCTTAAATGAGCAAGGATATGTCACACATCCACTGCCTTTTCCTGTTCCATGCTGATCTACAGCAATATTTTCCTGATGTTTGGGGTTAAATAAAAAAAACAATGACATTTCATTAGTGGCACTAAAATAAAGCATACTTCATATTTGTGATGTAACATCAAAATGACATTGTGAAATAAACATGTTGTAAGGAAAACTAAATCTTTTACTTTATGATAACTGCTTTGTCAACAGTCAGGAAGAGTAATAAGCCAACCAACCTTGTCACTTTCACCCTTGTCAGCTAAAAGTCCCCACATGGCACCCTTTAATTTCTTCACATCCATCTTTTTAGCAGTTTTGGCATAGCCAATGTCAATTTTCTGAACCTGCAGTAAAGAAAATCAAAGTAAATTTATTAACAGGAAGAGAATAATTTTTATGAGCAGGATTACATGCAGAGTCCTACAAATTTCTTTAATCATGACACTCATTTTCACAGATCAGGGGGAAAATTAATTTCGAGAACCTCAGCTTCACTGTTGTCCCTTTCAGACAAGGACTGTTGTTTGCAGAATTAATTAATTTGTTCTTCAACCTTCTCTTCAGGTGTCCACAATAACTTTGTTGCAAAGAATTATTCACACCTTATTAGGTTGGGCAACAAGGCCATCACCAGCAAAGAGTGTTTGATCCACTACACTCTCATTAGTGAAGCTGTGGCTTTGGGTTGAGTCTCCAAAGGTCATATCCTGTGAAGATGGGAATTCTGCTTCTCCAGAAGGCATGTCGCATCCACCATCTGCACCATCAAAGGCATCATCATCATCATCGCCACCATCCTATTAAGAAAAAATTGTTACTACAATAACAAGACATGGTACAGTTTCAAGTACACAAGAAGTTAAATTAAATAAATTGAAACTGTGAAAATTTTGAAACTATCATTTTCTCACATTCACAAAAACAGATTTTCTTTTTGATCCATTTACTCTACCTCAATCAAGAGTTTTGCATGTTTGTAATTAAATAAGTTCTGTCTTAGCATATTTTCACATGTGGACAGGTGAATATTACTTTTAACACTAATGTTTTGCCAAAGCAGTTTAATAAAGACTTTTGCTTTAATCTCTGTAACATCTTATGATTGTTTAATTGTGTCTCAATCTCTTTTAATTTAAACATGTAGTCTGTTGGCTTTTTGGCTGATGGGGAACTATTCTCGACACCTGGCACAACTTGTGTGATGGCCATGAATGACCAAAATTATCCTAGCTTTTTTAAACTTAAACTGTCTCAAACAACATTTGCAACATCCCTGCTGACATTGGTCAATTATGTAAACCAATCACCTGGGGTGGGGCTAAGCAGACGAAGTAATACTTGTGGAATTTCCCACACAGGCCACAGTCATTTACTGTGTGTCCAGCCACCATAAAAACACTTGGAATAACCCACCTTACACCTTTCATTTCCTTTCTTGGCTCTGGTAAATTAATTTAGGTTGCCCTTTTCTGTATGTTTTCAAGAATTAAGATCGAGTAAGTGCCCTGAACCTAGGAAAGACAATTCTTTTTCTGATATTGGGCATGTTTTTTTGGCCAAATGAATGCAACTAGCCTAAGAAACTGTTAAGTGAAGACTTAACAGAGGATCACAAAATTTGCATACATGTAACTTAATTGCCAGCCTGAAGTTTGCACCAACAATGACTGACATGAGAAGGCTTCTGCTGACAGCACTTACTTGGAGATCTGGACAGAAGTTAGCACAATCATTCGCATTCTCATAGTTATACCAAGCTGAACCTGCCAAGGGAAAAAAAATACAGAGCATCAAATATATGTCCATTTTGCATGTAAACCTTAATGCTTCAACATCAGGATACATATTCTCCTTAGTCTTCTCTAGACACTTCCTATGGCATAGACATGGAGAATTTTTGTTTTCATAGGTTGGTAGTCATTTCTTTTTGTTCTCTTGATCATAATGAATTCTCATGATCTTAATGAATGATTCAACAGTATCACTGTTAAGAGAAATTAGATACTGGACACTCTAAGGGTTTAAAAAGGGAAAAATGAAGTTGTATTTATCTGACAGATGATGATTGATAGCTTATCCTATGAAAAATTGACTGATTTGAAGTGGTTAAGTAATGATGATTTACAAAGATTTGCAAAGGATTAACCTGTAATTGCACCCAGCAATTTGCCATTTATCATTAATTTTTATGGCAAGACAGGGTTTATTAGTCTTTGAAAGGGTATTAGTATCTATAAAAGTGGGAAAATTGGAAACATCAAATTTCCCACAGCAAACAATTAATATTTTGCATTTCAGCAAAATTTCAAAAATTTTGCCTTAACCAATGAAGGGCCTGAAAAGTGGCATGCTAATGCAAGCACTCTTTTTTTTGTCTTGTGTTATCAAACAACATTGTGCATTTGTTTTATTTTCTCAAGTTGAGGAAGCTTGGTGAGGAACAAAGAAATTTGCCAGCTTGGGTGACGACAGCTATGGTATACCAAATGGTTGTAGTGTACCAAAGTCCACAACAACCAAAGTAGCTATATGCATCGTACACAGAAGCTTTATTTGGAGAGCAAAGAACATCTCTCACCATCATCTCTAAGTTCTGTTTGTGCTTGAACTTGACGTTTAACCTACATGGAATTCAAAAAAGGAAAACAAAAAAGGTAAAATAATACTAATAGTTAAAAGTGAAACAGTATTTAGTATCCTAAAAAAGTTTCCTCTTCAATTGTTATCTAAGGTGACCTGTCCCTTTCAATTCAAGGGTTTAACCTTCATTGTTTATGTAAGGGAATAATACTGACGAGTCATCATAAAGAATATAATAGTTATTTAGAACTACTGTAAGTTCTTAAAATGTCTGGAGACATCTATGGTTTTAGATTATAATGAAAAATCCTCCATTAAACACAAGCAATTGTACTAACCATAATTTTGGGCTTAATAAAAAGCCTAAAGAGTTTGTCTGCATTATAGTGAAGGTCTTCTGGTAATGTGTTCTTGGCTGCTGTGTATTTAGCCAGGGTTGTTTTGGACAATGTTGTTGCTGCCTAGGATACAAATAAGAGTTATCCATGCAGAATGTTTTCACACAGAGCTGTTTGATCACAGCTGGAGAGTAATTTGTTTCACCTACTGCCACTCATCTCAAAGCTCTCAAGTTTATTTTCTGGCAAACACTGAAATTTTTTACAAGCATCTGACTTTGGTGGGCATTATTTCCTGGGGGAAGATGTATGAAAGCCATGCCCAGGGGAAAATTGTGAAAACAAAAAGGAAACTAAGATGTGCATTTCTTTCATCTGAGCAAAAATTTCCACTGTTGGAAAGTGTTTTCAGTGAGCAAAAAGAGAACAAGGAGTAAATTATATTTAGAAGGGTGTTAATTTTTTATTTTCCTTAATTTGCTGTCTCAAAATCAACAGTTTAAATCTAAAAATCTTAAAATGCACGAGAAATAACAGTTTCAGCTTGAGAACATGAGATTGAATGAATAAGTTTGCATGACTTTTGCCCTTAATGCATGAGACTTAGGAGCTTTGTCCTCATAGATGACTTCCTCCTGATCAAAAAATTATCTCTAACTTGCAGGGGCATTATTGGGATTACAAGCAAGAAGATAATGACAGCCAGATGAATCAGTGAGCACAACAATTCAAATAGTGTTTAAGATTCAAATTAGTTTCAATTATCATATACTTACCAACAGATTAATGGACAACAGGTACACCCCCAAACTACATACAAGCGCAGAGGCAATATTAAATGTCATTACCTTTCCTTTTGAAAAACTGCTTGCAAAATCCACCTCACTGTCAAAATTGATTGTGAAAGGCTGTTTCTTTGCTTTCTTTTTCTTACTTTGTTGTTCAGCTGTTGAGTTTATCAAACCTATAACAAAGACATTGTTTTAAAATAATAGGTGGTATAGGCATGGGTAGAATTACAGTTATTGCCACTTCATTGATTGGTACAGAAAACTAATAATTTATATGAAATATATGAAAACTGATCTTCATGATACATCAAGAATTGAGGTCAGATAAAGCTCTGTTTGTTCTTTTATTGGTTCAGTAACCTTTACCAAGAGTCAAATAGAGTTTTATTTTATATTTCCCATAAAATAATAAAGACTTCTACTGTGTTGCAGCCTGTTTGTCTCCTGCTTCATGAGGATCACAAAGAAAGATAACTGTGGCTGGAAGACTAAAAATACCAATCAGAAAAAGGTATGGCATTGCAATAAAAGGGCTCACTTTAAAAGCTTAGAGTAACTTACCTATTAAATTTGGATCAATGTCAGTATCTGAGCAACTGAGCACCTACCCCTCCCCTAACCCAACATTAACCTTAACTTGTTATCTATTGACTGTTTGTGGGTTAAGGGAGGGGATTGGAGCATAACTGCTCAGATAGTCATCCCTGAGTCAATTGTTTGCTTGGTGAACACATTTGTAAGCAGTAAAGCAAAAAAAACCACAAAGATCACATCTAACCTTTTGAAAGCTTGTCACGAAGCTTCCAATGTAACGGTCCTGCCCAGGTGGACATGAGGTCAGACTTGAAGTAAGAATAGTCACTAGGCTGAGATGAAAGCTCCAAACAAAGTGACCCTGCAGTTGCAGCAGCAGAAGCAATAGTTGTCCTGAATAACAAAGACACTCAATATTCAGAATTTACAAATCTTTTCATCTTCTGCCAATTATACTTTTCACAACAGACAAACCTTCCATCCTGTGACACAACAAGCCTAGCTTCTTGTCCATCAGCAAAGGCGAGCGAGGCATTACAGATGGGGTTGCGGAAGACATTTTCACAGCCATCTCTTCCATATTCAATGTCCTGCCGAGAAAGAAAATTTACTTCCATGTGTCACAAATCACCAAAATTTCTACTGACTTTCAAAATCATGGATAGCTTTCTGTAAAATATAGCAAGTCCTGATGACATCATCCAAGTCCATTGATAAACACTGCAATAACCAGTTTATTACTGTTTGCTGCAAGAATACGTAACGGTGCTTACCTCACCCATGTCAGGCATACCATCATCACTAATGTCACCATTTCCTATTGGTTCTGGAAAATCACACTCTGGCTCTGGCTCAGTGACTAAAATGCAGACAAAAACAAACACTTGATTGAAGTCTTTTGGTAAATTTTCAATCATTGAATTTCAAAAGTAATCTGAGATTACTCAGGTTTTGCTTCACTTTGCTTTGTAATTGGTCCAGAAAACCTGTGCCCCTCTCTCAACAGACAAGTTTCACAGCTAAAACCCATTGTGACATGGTTGCTTGCATTTTCTTGAGCAAACTTTCCCTGTGCATAAAGTCTGAAAATTTTTAAAGTGTACTAGCCCACCAAGATAAGCAGTTAGCTTACCACAGGCCAGGACACTTGTCACCATCTAACTAAGAAATAAACCAAAGCACTTTGTTGTTATTATTGTTGGGTTTGTAATGTATTGCTGTGATGAAAAGTCTGTGTATTTTCAAGAATACACAGGATGATTCAAGTTAAAATTTTGAGTTTGCATGCAGCTACAGCACTGGACAGCAATTACTTACAGTTGCCAGTATTTCTTTAAAATTAGGTGCTGTGGTTTCTCACCTGGTCCATCAACATCAAAAGCATGTTCATTCTTCTCCATGTCTGCCACCATTTTACCATAATCTGTATTGGCTTGCTAGATTTTCAAAGAAAGTGATGAGCTACTGGGCCATCAATTACAAAATCCATTAATTAAATGGTGATTATCATAGTGTCTTGTAGAATGAATATGCTGATTGCATGTTCAGACCAAGCTGGTCTGATTTTTTGCATTTTTTAAATTCCCATCACATAGCAGTGAATAATTTTCCAGCTCAAAATAGGGGATTACAGTGTAAGTGCCAAATTTCAACCATAGATCATTAACTGAAGATATATTATGACGGCTGTTGAACCTCAATTATCTGGAGTCATGGGAACTAGGATAAATAGTCTGCATAATTAAGAGTCTGGATAATCAAAAATGTCCATAGTAGCTAGCTAAAAAATAAAACTGAATATGCATTGTTTAATCAATATTATGCCAGAAATAAAGTACACTCTCAAATCATTGTGCTTCATTACCAAAACTTGCCAAAGTATTTACAAGAATGTTTATGACAACATGCAACAATTTATGACATAAAATGCTGACATAAATCAGTGTTTCAAGCTGCTACAGTGTATGCATGTAGCTAATTCTATCATTCTTTGAAGTTGCATTAATTGCATATGAAAAAGTTTTTAGGGATTTCAAATGTGACTAAGTTATATTCGTGGAAACATGGAACCAGAGAAGCTAGTCCAGATAATAAAAAAATCAGAATAATCAGGGTTCAACTGTAATCAAAACTATAACAAAATTATTGAACAAGAATAGAACATTGTATGTGTTACGCCTGTGTAATTGGACGATGCGCATCACATGTGCATGCTGTTGTTGCACATTGGTGTTTGTTCAATGTTGATAATCACTCCTATGATTACAGACTGAGTAGGACTCCACTCAGTTCTATTGTAACCATAGAAATCTCTTGTAAGTACCAGGAAAAAGGCTTATTAATTAGTGAAATACAAAAACAAGAGAACGAGAGCAGATCTAACCCTCTTATTTTGTTTATATAGAGTACAACTTTTTTGAAGTTTGCAATCAATTGTGACAAAGGCTATTATTTCTTACCTCTCTGTTGCTTGCCCAGTTAGTGAACTCAAAATCAGCAAAGTGAGGACAAATTTGCAGATCTTCAAAGTTGACACGACTGTAAACATCTGTAAAATTTAATATAACACTGCCTTCAGTTAATAAACTTTTAGGGTTGTGTTTAGAATCCCTAAATCAATAAGATGAGTGATAATAATGACAATGTGTCTTGCCTCGAAGTTGTGATAGGTCAACCATGCTGTTGTCGCATGTTGTTTCCCCTTCAGATGACATCTCCCTGGCTGTTGTACCAGTTAAAGTTGTGGAGTCAAGCAGAAGATCGCATGTGTCATCACGCACATGAAGATGGTTGAGAAGCAAGCCTCCTGTTCCACCCTCATCAAACGCAGCTGATGTCTTGTGGAATAATGGATCAACCTAACCACATAGAAAAAAAATATGCTTCTGCCTCTTTTTTCATGATTAACATGTAACTTCTCCCTGTGTAATATCCATACAGTACATCATCCAGCAAACAGATAATGAGAGTACTCAAACTTATCAGGTAGTTGTTATTTTGATCTAACACTAGATTCTTGTGACTTATTTACCATAAAAGGTGTAGCTGCTAGAGGGAGAATGACTCTAAACAATGATATGCATGTAATCTGTGGTTTATGTATTACATGTCATGTACATAGAGAATTTAAATATTCCTAAAGTGACAGAAGGAGAGTAAACTTAAGCTAATCAACTTTAATAAACAGTAGTCATCACTAAATTATTGAATGCCTTTACTATGTCTGAGAAAATTAACCAACAAATGTAGAGTACTTACCTCAAAACCTAAGTCAAACTGGTTGACGTTAATGTTTTTGAGGTTGGACTCGATGGTATTTCCAGGCCGATGATGGGCAGCCTTTAACAAAACACAAAACACAGAGTATTTAGATTGTTAAGATGTATTAGCTACTGAGTAACAGGTGGAGGGAAGGGTGGGCTTGGTGACTGGGGTAAGGAATTTGTTGAGACTTTAATTCTAAATAGCTTTTTTTTTTTTTTTTTTTTTTTTTTTTTTAAGGATAAGGCTGTAGACAGATCTTTTAAAAAATTTTTGTCTCCTTAATTGGTCCAGACATTACAAGATTAAAGTCATGATTCCACCAAGTAAAAAAGGAATCATCTTGTGATATATTAGGAAAACTGACACCCTCAGTATCTACTTTTCCAAGTTTTAGTCCCAACTGAAGAAGTCTATAACAATTGGCTAAAATTCAGTTAGCCTCTATGGGTACAATTTATGATTTTCCACAGAAGAGATTGTCAATATTGACCATAAACAATAAAAAATGCAGCTGTGTGAAGCAGTAAAATAATGCAGAGCACACAAGCCTTAACCCTTTACATTCAGATATAAAAGTGCATATTCTCCCTACTGATTGCGTTACTTTTCCCATGGAACTGGAGATGAGAATTTGTTTCAAAATAGAGAATTGCTCTAGTTGCTGATCAGTTCCTTTGTTCCTATGGCTTTACATTTTTATTCAGGGGTTATCCTGTCAGGAGAAGTTGGATGCTGTACCCTCTTTGTGGTTGAAGGTTCCATAATGCAAATTAAGCTGTTTGTGAGCAGAATTTACTTGCATAGGAGATATTTTATTTCTATAGTATACAGATAATTGTGTAAAGACAGGTCTTTCATGATGACAACCCATTAATTCAACAAAAACTTTACATTTTATCTTAAAACACCCACTTAAAATTCATAACTCATAACTCTTGAAATTTATAAAAATGAACATTTCTTAAGTTCACTTTTGAATTTATGAAAACCTCTGCCTATGAACTTGGTACAAGTCGTTAATTATATGAAATAACATATCATGAAGGAATTGCCTTTAATGCTTGTAATAAAATAATACCTTTTTTGGCTTCTGGGACCCTTGGAGTTCCTCAGCAGTACCTTCACCATCATTCTCATCACCATCTACAACACAATAGTATATGATACCACTCAAATATTTCATCTTTTTGCTCCAAATATTATAATTGACTTCAAAATTCCACAACTGATGGGCAGGGATACAGAAATTTCAGAAATAGTGAAAATGTCAGCCCTTTCCACCCTAATATCTGCAATAGGGAATTCTCTGTATTGTTCTCTATACATTTACTAGGTTGCTGACAAGGACAATTTGTTTTTCACCATTCCAGGGGTCATTGATCATTCCCTTTGTTCTCATGACCTTCATATTTGATTCAGGAGTGATATCATATGGAGAAATCAGATGTTCATCACTCTTAGGGGTCTTAGGAACACACAGAATTTGCCATCTCAACCCTGTTCATTTCTTTAGTAGGCTTGTCTTCCACCATTTTTTGAAGAAGGGCTTGTATTCTCCTGAAAGGGAGCGAGGTGCAGGCTAACTTCCTGAACTGCTGCTAGTTATCAAGCCTATGCCCTTTGGTTTAAACAGATATAACAATACTGACAGTGCATACTACATGTTTTACTCATTTTCTGTTCCAAGGGTATTTTTTCTTTAAAAAACCAAGTAATAATAAGTACCATACAGCCGTCCAAGCAGTGTTCTCCTTTTAAGGCAATAACCTGTAAAATTTAGTACAAGTAGTACCTTATATTGCCACCAATAATAGCTCAGAATTCTTCAAAGTGCAACAAAATAAGGGAGAACAGTCCCAGAGCCATTACTGTTTTTTGTTAAAAAATTCAGGCAATGATATTTGGAACCACTGCCTCCAGTTACTTCAAGAGGAAAATTCTTACTTTGATTATGCACCCTTTGCAAACAAATGAAACAACAATAATACAAACTTATCTTCAAACACAAACTTACCTTGGTTTTCAGCTCTTCCTAAACCTCCTAGCATTTTATAGGCTTGTGCATGGATGGAATCAACACGACCAGCATAGATTTTGGCACTTGCATCTAATGTACAGCTTGCAACCTTTCAGTAACGAAATCACATATTAATTTTTTGTCTCCTCTAAGGCTTCTTTACCAGCAATAATAATTCTATCAAAATAATTTTCCCAGCACATGCAATGTAGAAGCATGGGCCTGTGTCTGTGATATATCCAAAGACAGAAACCAGTAAATCAGTAGAACCTCCAACTCAAACTTAGTTAACTTGACCTCCCTGCTGATTTGAACTAATGCAACTTTCCCCAAATAAATGTCAGAACATAGCTAATAGACACCTTCCAATCTGTAATTGCAATTGATACAAACACAAATTTTATGAAAACATAAAACATTTAGCTAAACTTTCTCTTTAAAAAAGTAATTATAAAACAAACTTAATGCAACAAAATGACTGTTGATTGTGCAAGGATGGTAAAACAGGATTTGTTACTTATTATTTACAGGACAAATTGAATTCAGTGTATATCCCAATAACTTGAACCACTTTTTGTTTCCACTGAGAGTTCAAGTTTGTGGGGGTTCTGCTGTATATTTTCAAATAACTGACATTGTTATTACCTGAAAGTTAGTCATGTCTCCCTCTTTGACTGTTTTTATCAAGTCTTGCATGTAATCAATTAAATGCAGACCAAAGGCATTTTTGGCATTGATTTTCTAAAAAGAATCAGTGGCATGCACATTGAGTAAAATACATGAAGACCATAACAATTGACTTTGTTACAAGACAAGACTTTTTAAAGTTCTATCCTTTTAATCAGGATCCAGATGACTTGTGACTGAAACATATGTTATAAAATTTTGCTTAAGAACACTCTTAATAGGATTGTCAGGGAAAAATGACTTACACCTCAACTTGATCCTCAACACCTTAACATCAGTATGCATGTTCTCTATTCTGTTCTCTATACACTTACTAAGTAGCTGGGATGGATAATATGTTGGTGATAGTTACCTTTATTCTCCTAATCTAAATGTGTAATTCAGGGGTGATATTGTAAGGAGAAATTAGACACTAGTCACTCTTAGGGGTTTAAAGGGTTAATACATATTTTACATTTTATGTTTCAAGTTAAATAATTGTAATGTATAAATGAAGACTGTTGCGCCTTAAATATTTGTGAACTTGAGGCACACTTACATTCTCAGTAGACAACTTTATGCAGTTTGAATACAAGTCTTTCAACTGAACATTAGTTAAACCATTGCTGCCTGTAGTCTGGCCCCTGGAAAGAAACCACAGTTTTTAGGTGCAATCATCAGGTGGAAGGGGAGGAGGAAAGTAACTTTAATTTGGAAGGAAATTAAAGGAATTGTTTGATTAACATACTGATATTGATTAATATTAAACTAAACATGTCATGTAGGAAAACATTCAAGTCATTTAGAGATATATTCTAGAAGTTAAAAGCGATATAGAGAGAGGATGTAGTTCACAGAATTGCGTAGTTCGATTAGTGATCTTAATTAGTGAACGTACCACGGTAAACTGCCACAAACTTACAAATTACATACATGACTCGAGCGTACGTACATGTACCATTTTATCATGGTATTTAAAAAACATAACCATTCACTTATCGAAGTGGAATTAAAGCTTAAAAAATGCTTCAAAACTCTCTATACATTCACCGCGGAAAATGATCAAATAAACTTAGGATATTTAGTACCTTTCGCTGTCAAGACGAGTTGCACTTCTCGGAGTTGCGGGACTTTGAAGGGTGGCAGATGTCGCTTTAGATAAACGCCTCTGCCTTCTTTCTGCAGCATCGTCGTTTTCTCTTAAGTGTGTTGGCGGAGTGTTAGTGCTTTTTAGGGCAATTGCACGACGTCGTCTCGCATTGGGAGAGATTAAGTCTGGTGTTCGAAACGGTGAAGAGACGGCCGCCATATTTGCTGAAATAAAAGATTTTTTTAAATAACTCGAACTGTATGATTTCTTGGTGTTTCTCGTCGATTTAAATGAAAAAAAATGATATTCCTATCAAAAGGCACGAATAGGCTGGAAATAAACTGTAAGATAAAAGTTTGAGGTTTCAATCTAAACGCAGTATATACTTTTCATATCTTGGCGCCCAAACAAACCGTCCTTAAAACGACCACGTGACGTTAAAGTCATTGGTATCCACCCTCCCCTCCCGGTCAGTATCAAAACAAATGAAAGATGGCTGGTTTTGTGACAGCGAATCGCTGGGCAACGGGGGTTGAAACTCACAAAACTTCAGAGGGAAGGATTTTGTGTACAGGAATCGGCTGTGTTGGATGTTTTCCTGATGTATTTTTGAAAGAAGCTGAGGAACTTGGGGTCTGCGAGGTTGATCTTTCCAGTGGCATTTTAGGCCTCCGGCCTTTCTTAGACGAAGAAAGTTCCCGGGAAAACTCGAAAAAGGGAAAACATTTGTCCAGGAGACGAAAGAAGAGGAAGACAAAGTCCAAGAAGAATACAAACGTAAATTTTAAGGAGAGTCAGTCTTTTAAGCAGGATCTGGAAGGATCTAAAATTGACGAAGACAAATCCGGACCTCTACCTTCGGAAGTATTCAAAATATGTTCAACTGGGACGCAGACAGAAACGTCCAGCTTAGGAATTGATATTAAAATTAAACTTTCAGAAAACTTTAAAGGCCGATCTAAACAATATCAACATCCTTTTCAAGAAGGAAATAACTCCGACACAGAGGTACCTCTGTCTGAAAATCACAGACAGGTTGGTGCTAATTGTGGCATTGTCGAGGTTGACGACAACGTAAACAGAACACATAGGAATGCACAGGGTTTGTTTAATTACCCATTCTTCTCAAGATTCGACAAAATCCACGATGAATTGTATGTTGTAAGTAAGAAGGATATTGCGCTTAACTCTTCTGATGACCATTTTTCGTATGAAGATAATCTCATGGTGAAAGAGAAGCTAAATAACGGCGTGATCCCGACAGACAAGGAACAAGAGCTGGCTCCCTACGGAGAGGATGCAGTGTGCTTTTTCTTTGCTTTAGAGTACTACAACAGCCACAGAATTTTACCAGACTTCAGGGTTATGGAAATCGTGGAGGCACTCAGTGAACTTGTGGATGTGAAGGATATAAAGTGCGTTCAAAGAATTTCTCGTCGATGGCATATTGTGATAAAAACCCGAAAATACATCCAAATGTTGAGACACTCGGGACTCAAGTTACGAGGAAGGGTGTATCAACTTGTGGATGATACAGATGCCTACTTTGATGTAGTTCAATAAAAATCCGAAAGCAGTATCTTCCAGCTTGTTTGTAGATTCCCAATGACTAGACTTTATAGTTTATCTGGGTAATATTCTGGGCTGAATCATTTTAAACAATGATTTACATACTAACTTGGGTCCAACTGCCATAGCAACATTTATCTCTTTGAAAGCAATCATTGAGTTACCCACCCTATTGGTGTCAATCAGGTCTCCCGCTGCTTCCTGAAAAAGTATAATGCCAGTATTATGCGTTGTGTATTTAAATTCAGATGATTCCGGCTTGATACAAGATAATCAGGGGCCTGGATTCATAAAATAAATATTTTATAGGGGCATTCTCTCAAATCTAAGATTACACAAATTCGTATCACAATTTCAAGGGAAAGGGCAAACGTAAACTTCAGATTTCTTGTTTTTGTCACGACAAATTACTTGGTTGGTGTTTGTAAGCAATCAGAGTAAATGAAGATGCTGGCAAGAGCCTCTGCTGCTCCTCTGAGCAGCCCCCCCCCCCCCCCAACTCAGAATAATCAGAATTGTCAATGAAGTATTCCAGTACATTTTAACTTACAAGTTTAGAAAGAACACAGAGGATCTGTTGCTGTTTTCCTCAGCTTTCTTTCTAGGAACAAAGCTAAAAGCTATTGAAAATGTGGAACAACCCTCTATTTTCTATCTTGCATGACACCCACAACAGCCTTCTTTAAGGTTGTGTCCCAGCTCAGAACCCTTGCCAAACTATCAAGCAAATAAAGTTGTGAAACAAAATTTAATATACAATTTTTGTATACTAAACCAAGAGATACAAAAATTTGAAGGGACAACATGCACCAATTATGTACAACACACAGTAAATATCATTACATAATCTTACTGACACTGCACTATTAACTGAAAATTATCATCACACATAGGTAACTTCTTTCAATAATTGCTTTTAATCTACTTATGAGATTAGAGACACTTAAGCTAAGTTGGAACCAGCTCACTAGGAAAGCTCACCACTGTTGCAATACTTTTGATTAGAAATAAAGTAAATAATGGGGAAAAGAGTGAATGACGACCATTCTAGGAACTTACAAATGACAACAGTAACAGCAAGAATTATTTGTTTGGAAGATACATCATTATTTTTACACCATTGAGATGAGGGTGAGCTTTCTGCCTGGAGAGATAAATACAATAGAGTTTAGAGCTCTTCACTAAGTACACAACGTGACAATCAAAAGATAAGAACAAATACTACTTTACCCTTAAAATTTAATATAATTTTAAGCTTTTGTCAGAGTGACAAAGATGAAGATAAACCAAGAGAAAATTATCAAAATAGCATTAGTCAATAATTTTTACACTAGCCACAACAAACTTGCAATGTACAGTTGATCAAAAAGCTGAGTAATCACGGGCTTAAATGCTACACCAAACTTATACATCACAATGTGTAACAGTATTCTGTAAAAAGAACATTACTTTTCAAATGTCCTTGTTTCCATGGAAAATTTCATAAAGATAATTAACCAAAATGTTAACTGATCACTGTGTCAGGGGGCAAAGACTCAGCGATTAAGGTAGTTTCAAGAGTTGTTGCAGCAGCAGCTCCAATTCATTTGATGTGGGTGACAAAAGAGAAAAAAAACTTAATTAAAACATCACAGGTCCTTTTAAGGAAGACACTTCTCAGTGTTGAATCCTAAAGTGTTTAAATAAACTGACTTGAAAGCTTATCATGCCAACTGATGTAGACTGCAAAGAAATCTACAACTTCTCTGGCAAATTAAGCCAAGATATCAAGTCCTGTTGGATTGATTTTACAATACGTAGAAGAAAACATTAATTGAAGGTTTCTGTCAACCGAGTTAAAAAGAAAATGAACTTGAAAGTTTCACTCTCTCACACAGATATCTAACCATGAAATAATTAAGCATAGGAAATTTAACTGGGGAGTTTGAAATGTTAAGAATAAGCCACAGAAGCCCTCGATTGCCAAACAGAAATCACAGAAGTTCAACACATACTTGTGATTGACCATGCCCAGCAATGCCAGTTTATGGACTGAAACTATCAAGTGACACAGCAATATACAAAAATCAGCCGACAGGACAATTTTTAAAGTGTTATATTCTATCTGTACAGGCAGTCCTATGGGCATTATTCTCCCAATTGAAACAGTGAACTAAACGTTATTGGTGTAATACTGCTATTACACTCTTCATGAAGATTTACCCTACACAACTCTCTCTATATGCATTAGCGAAAGCACCAAATACTACATGATTGGACTACTATGCCATAAATTATTTACAACTATCTTCATTTTCGAGGGTTTCCATTTTTTGTACAAATATACGATAAACAAAGGGCTAGGGGTAGATTATGAACAGGTCATCTTGAAGGGCTAACGGCTGCTTTTCCATTTTGGTCTGGAGTGTAATTAAGGAAATCCCACATGAGTATTGTATCATCATGGGAACTGCTAACTATCTGGAAATCATCAAACTGAAGTCTGAATACTCTGCCATTATGCTCCTGTAGAGAAATAGAACAATGTTAAAAATAGCCATCTTTTGAGGCAGCTGCCACCTTTCAGACCACCATTTGGTGCCTGTAAAAGTAAAGCCTAAACAGCACAAGGAGATGGAAACACAGGGTTCCTTTGTAAAGTGTAACATACTGTCTACTCTTTAACACTCTTAAAAGATGTCTGGATTTGTCTAATTTGTAGTTCAAATTTACTTTCATGTGATACAAAATTGATGCACAATGGTGTTATTACTGTTCAAATTGAACACTCTCAGACAGTTTAAAGTAAATTAGTCGTTCAATACATCAACTTCATTCATGGCCACCAAGTAGAATGGTGGAAAGGTTAGTTTTGGACCACATGAAATTATCTGCAATTCTTTAATAGCCCGAATTGTTTCAATACATTTTAATGCAGTTTCAGAGATATTGAATTGTCCATAAGGGCATAGTGTCTGCAATAGCATGGCTCCAAAAGGAAAGAGATGACTATTTGCTGAAGTTCCATTATCTGGATACAAGGTAGGGTTTAAGACAAATTAACAACATGATATAGTGACATACCACAAGAGTTCTGAGACAGAGTGTTCCAGCTGGAGCCCTTGGATCTAAAGCAGCCTGAAGATCCCAAACTTTGATTTTCCTGTCAATAGAAATGGACCAGGTATTTCAGGATTGATTACACAACATGTTGGATTTGTCAATCCTTCATTAGAGCCCTCAAACATATTCATTTCAATTTCCAACTAAAAACTCAATGTGGATTTATTGTTGACAAAAAAAAGAGCTTACAAAAACCATTAAAAACTGCATTTTCCAACAAGAACTTTTATTTATACAGTTAGGCCAACCATCCATATGAAAACAGACCAAAACAAAAAACTTTTAAACCCTTTTTGACCATCATTATGTAAAGCATTTCTGCCAATGATATGTGTTGCTTCTTTAAATCTATCAGACACAAAGGGATAAAAAACACTTCATCCTCTTCCACAATGAATGGGAACCTTTTGTTGTATTTTCTGAGAAAGTGCTGTTTTCAACTTCATCTCATATACTGAGGACACAGCCTGAATATTTCTTGTTTTCCTTGTTTCTGAAGTTAGAGATAGGAACAGTTCCTCACCCATCATAAGCTCCACTGACTATCCTTTTGTTGTCAAACCGGATACACCTGAGAACCAAACATTTATACAACAAAATTTAGTCCAATCTTTCACACTAAATTTGTTGTTTGGTGAACCTTTTAAATCCCACAATCTGATGGCTAATTCTTCCTTCTACCTACTTGTAGTAATTTGAATATTCTCATTACCTGTTTGCTGGTTAATGTATGGATATTATATGGAGAAGTTACATGTTAATCACTTCTGGGAATTGGAGGATTAGGGACTGGTTTAAAGACAAGATACCACAAAAAAACCTTATTACCTGACTAGTTCCTCGTGGCCCTCCAAGACTCTAAGACAGGCTCCACATTCAATGTCCCATAATCTGTTGTAAACCATAATATTGAAGACAAAAAAATGCCAGATGTTACTAAAACATAATTTGAGTTCCACTGTTATTTATTATGTCTATCAAAAGGCCTCTGACAGTCATAAGGAACATTAAACATTTATGATAAAACCCAATCAGTAGGCAAACCCTTTACATCTTAACATCAGTTTGCATATCCCCTATACTCACCTGTTCTCTAGTACAGTGTTGACAAGGAGAATTTGTTTAACAATCAAGAACTTCTTTACTTGATGATCATCTCCTCTATTCTCGTGACCTGATATGTGATTCAGAGGTGATCTTGTAGGGAGAATTTAGATGCTTGTCACTCTTAGGGGTTACTCACCTTATAGTATTATCTGAAGACCCACTAACAACCAAACGATCACGATATTGCAGACATGCTATGCCACGTTTATGTCCATTCAAGGTTCTCACAAATTCACAAGTGGAGGTGCTCCATACCTGAGGTAAAAGTAACACTGTAAGTATAATTGAGTTAACAGCATCCTTACAAGGTACCTTACAGTTCTTGGGTGCCTGGGTCACATCTTTATGCAGTAAGAAGTTCAAAGAAATTCTAGGTAATCAAAATGCTTGTAAAAATTCATCAGACAGTAGTACAGTAGATTGTTACTTCAGAATAATGGAGTGTTAAAAGATGTGTAAACTTATTTTATATCGACAAAACTGTAAGGCTGACCTCTTAGCAAGAAAGAAATACAGGTTCTAAATGTAACCAAGCTGACCTAAACAAAGTAGGGTTTGGGATTTTTTTTTCTTTTCACACTGTAACACAGTTTTGAAAAACCATTGAAGTTTTGAACAGATGATGTGTTTCAACAAAGTCCTTTAACACAGCCACATGTAGTAATATGCATTGTGGCAAAATAAGAGGAAACTTGCTGAGTTAAGGAGCTAAAGACAGTTTCTCAAGCCAAACAACAATCATTTTTTCATGCTGAATCTACAAAAGCAGCATTTTTTAAAAGCTCCTTCCTTGACCAGACCCTCAACCAGACAAAAAAAGTTTTAGCTGGTCAACCCTAGTAATAGTTTCACTGATACCTTTATTGTTCTATCTCCAGATGCAGACACAATGTACTTATCATCAAAGTCCACCACATTCACAGCTGCTCTGTGACCAACCAAAACTCTTCTCAGGTTTATGTCAGTAGGGGACTGCATATCCCACACAGCAATGGAGCGATCCTATCAAGATCACCATGAAATGTTTTAAGTTTGAGGCAAACATTGCTCAGAATTATTTCCCTTCTGGAGATAACAACTGTCACAAAGCACCTGTTCCACCTGTATTGCTGTGTTTTTCCTTAGAGAACTTAAGTAAACATGCTTCACTTACAAACCAAAAATGTCTTAAAATAGATTTCAGTTATTCACTGTGGTAAATAACATTTCAAAAGAGAAATGTAATTATTTGTCTCACAATGCGGTCACTTGGGATGTGGAAATGTTTGTTCAAATTGCATGCATGGTCTTATCTTCAATTGCATCTACCCTTGCAGGCAATAAAAACAGTTCCCATGGCCTATCAAACTTCAATGATTTGACACCAAAACTTCACAGTTTTATACCAGCAAGTCCACAACCCTGAAACTGTAATTTGGTGTAATTGTGTTGATATTTCTGCCTTGTTTGTTGACTACAAATGCCATTGCTGACCAACAAGGATGAAAACCTTTTCAAGTGAGCCTGTAATGTAAAACCTTCACCCAAATGGGCAGGAAAACTGTGAAGTTCTGCTGACAAAACATTGAAGTTTGATAGGCCAACTAACATGATTTTATCAAATGGAAGGGTAGACATGATCAAGGATGGTACAGGTGACTCCTTCAAAGTAAAACTAATACATTATATTTGCTTCATCTGCCTACTCCTCATTTCCTTGAAGAAACTCCTGGACATTTGTTTAAAATTTGAGCCCAAGCCCAGGGCAGAGAGAGTGTTTATCACAAGAATACTTACTGTATTTGTCTCTGGTTGCCCTGAATTTAACTCCTTGGCTGCACTTTGCACATAGCTAGCTGGTCTGCCTTCTTCAAGTTGGGGTTCTTAAACACTATGTTTACATCTATTTACTACTTTTATTCTCAGTTTGCTTGAATTGAGGGCCACAACATTATCAGGTTGTTACTGTTTCATGTTAATCTCAGCTGATAAAGTTTTCTTTAAAGATTATTAATAAAAAGGAGTGCTTAATCTTCATCAAACTTGGCCATGGGATGGGCGTTGTTGTTGTTGTTGTTTTTTTTTTGAGGGCAGGGGGAAGTTCTTCTTTAGGCATGGGCACTCATTCTAAGATGGAAATCAATGATAATTTCATTTCAGTACCTTTGAACAGGTCACCATCATGCCTTCTTGGAATCGAAGATGAAGCACAGCTTCACAGTGATGGATTAAGGTGTTCAACATTTCTCCAGTAAGAACATTCCATACCCTGCAAGTTATATAACAAAACTATATGATTACATAATATATGGATAAGATGCATGTGCCAGCCAAGAAAAAAGACTGAAATTAGAAGTCATATCCTTTAATTTCACAACTCAAGTCACTTAAAATGTGACCCAGGATTTACCAATTGAGCAAAAAACATTCAAATTATTATTGTACAATAATAAAACCATCCTGACACTAATAGGAATTGTTTAAGAATAGAGTAAAGTTCATATATTGTCCACAAATTCATTTGTTTGTGGCTACTTAGGGTATAAATCCTGCCTGAAGTTATTTGAGGTCTAAATATTTCACTACGTCAAAAACTCCTTGACTGATCTCTCTGCATTAAGAAATACACAGGAAACTTCCATTGACTGTCGTTACCCATGAGTAATCATCATAAAAGGTTTCAAACTTAAACCATTTCTTTTCCTAACAACATTAGACAGTAAGAAGAGTGCTTCTGCAACTTCCCAAGCTCATTAGCCAGGCTAGGCAGTTTTTGAAACGTACCTTACTGTGGAATCACTTGATCCTGTGACTATAACATTCTCATCATACTGAAGACACAGTACAGACCCAGTGTGGCCTGTTAGAACTTTGACACATTCTAATTTGTTTTTGTCCCATATCTACATTGTGAAAAAATGTACATCACCACTTTAAATTACTGTTAATGAAGACAAATTAATTTCCCCTTGTGAAATTACAAATGCAATTTCAGCAGTGCTTTAAAATAGAAATTGTATTGATGTGACTACCATTTCATAATCAAGTTAGAAGTAAATAAATCAACAATAGGCAGAAATAAGCATGCAAAAATATTTAGAGGTACAATAAATCAATTAAACAACTAATCCTCAGACTGCATACCTTAATTGTATTATCTCGAAGTCCACTAACTATTTTCTGGTCATCATACTGCAGACAGTAGACACCTTTGCTATTCTCACTGTGGCACAGAATACGGTGAAGAACATGACGACCACAACGCCAATTTGTGTCAATTGTCTACAGTAAATAATTAAGAGACACAAATGTTAATAATACAGAGGTTTCCAGAACAATGATTTGAGCTGGCTCAAAATAGTCTGTTTATATTTTCTTTCCTTTCTATTCAATTTTTTTTAAAATTTCACATAGCTCTTGTATTAAAATGAATCTTGATATGCTGATTGTCTCTTAACAATAAAAAATGAGGACATTGAAATAGAAGATGCTCATTTTTAAGTTATAAGCACATAAAGCTAGAATTGAGGGTACTTGTAACATATAGTGTTGCTATAGTAATGTTGAATGCTGGAAAATGATTTAAACATGCTGAGAAATAAGTTTAAAAGGAAAGCATTAAAAAGTGTGGTAGCATCAATGTGTGAAAAAAATTAGTGTATACACATAAGCAAAATCATTTAGAGCCACCTAAAGTTTTATGCTCAACTTTGATTGTAGCATTAAATACTTATTCACATTGATATAATTTTTTACCTCAAGTTCTTCAATAACTTTTGGATACAGTCTTCTAAAGGAAGCATTGTCAGGAAGCTCGGGTACTTGGGCTTTGAATAAATACTTGTCCCTAAAGACACACACCTCAACTGTAAGTCTTCTCACAAACTAACAGATGGTGATACTACATCTAGCATATCATAACATATACCAGGAGAGTATATTGAAACACGTGATAATACATCTGGATCACTAAGTTACTCATGAAGAGGAGACACTTATGTCCCATATGCCTCAAAGACACACTTTGCTTTTGATACATCTTTGAAGCAAGGTGATAATGCCATCCACCCACTACTATGGCTCAGGCTTGCCATCTGAGTAACAGGAGAGCTGCCTCTATTTTGCTCAGCAATTACTTAGTAAAGGCAAACAGTTTAAGGTGATGCATGCTAAGTTGTTTGATGTTGAAAGAAATCTTTTCATTTAAAATGTTTGAAAAAGTCTTGCTGAGAAGGGGATGCCAAAGATTGGGAATGTTATTTCAATAAAGCATTCCTTTCTTGAGCTAGCTCACTCTAATCCTAACCTGAGTGACTCTAATCCTAACCTGAGTGGCTCATATCCTTAGCTACAACCCTGGTAGCCTATATCTAACTCCTACACCTCACATCACCAGTGGAATCAAAAGATAAACAACCATTCTGTGGGTGTGCCACAATGACTGCTAAGTAACTAAGGAAATTTCCTACTCAAACACAATTTAGATCAAAGCTTAGCAGCTTGAAGGATCATGTTAAATGATTTATCCTTACTTACCATCCCCTTCTTTCTGACAATCCTCTCCACAAAGGATCAGTTCGAACTTTCTTTTCAATGAGCTTTTTCCATAGCATACCATCTGAAATTACTCTATACCACTCCTTGCAAACCCTTTCTGCAGCACACAAGGACTCTGCATCCAAGTAGGACAAAATCTTTTCGGCTATATGGTCCAAACCTTTAGCTGTAGAGCAGAAATGAGAGTAAAGCTGAATTCTACATTACAAAAAGACAAAAAAAAACCAGCCAATCTGGAACTAATCACTCTCTCAGTTTTGATAATAAGGTCATAAACTGATGCAATTTTAAGATCTTCCGGTAAATCGGTGGCTTACAACATGGAACAAAAAAAACAAACAAAAAGAAACCAAAGATTTGCATAAAAAAGATTGCCAAGTACATGCATGCGTGTAGAACACCTTGAAAGATCTATTAACAAGTAATAAATCTGTGGCTCGTGTTTTTCAGAAAAAACGTTCGGAGAAAAACTAAAATTGAAACCAAACAATGAAATGTGTGGCATTAGAGATGCAATCCTTGGGTTATTTTCTATAATTTCTTAAATTCACCTTCTTTAATTTGTTATCACTTGATATTGTACAAGTTAGATATCAACATGATATGTATCACCGGCTGAAAAATAACGTTTGGACGATAGATATCTTTCGTGATTTCAAGGTCGTGTTTAGCAAAATCCTAACCCTGTGTTAACTATTCACTTAATTTTTAAGAGTACAGTTTTTTATAGGGTACGCCGGGGCTAAATCTTGTATAAACATTCCCCAGAACTCAGGAAAACAATTGCCGATGGATTGTGAGGTGCACAAGCCATCTCTAAACACGGCAAGTCGAAAATATTTTGACACAAACATGCCACAGCACCGATATTGGTTTCCCGTGATATTGGGAAATTTCCTCTGCCAGATGAAAAGTTACTTAACTGTTGTCAAAAGGTCCCGTAAAAAATGGTAAACACTCTATAATCAACACATCGGTTTTGTAGGTGACTATGATAAAACAGCAGTCCTTCCAAAACAACCCCATGGAATTGTCTGAGTGTCGCCTGAATGTTCTCCGTTTGGTGAAACCATTACGTATAGATCTTAATTCGAAATGGTATTACTCGCTTAAGCCTGTCACGAAAGGAAAAGTAAACTTGCCTGAGCACAAAAAGGTATAATCAACTTACCAGGCAGAGCGGTTATAAAATCTCTCTGTAGCATTGGCTTCAGATACGAATTTATGTGTCCATGTTGATAATGGCACATTTTCGAAAGTAAAAATTCAACGAATTCGACTTGTTGGGTTTCTGACCATTTCTCAAAATGCTTAGCACAAGCTTGACTTTGTTCAATGAAAAGTTCTCGGCTTCTCTCGCTTTCCTTCTCGCTTGATTTTTCGTCTTCGCCATCGATAACCATCACCTAAACGAATTTCGAAAAGGATATTTCAAATCAAACAACACGGAAAGTTAAGAGTTTAAAGAGGAGAATCTCCCTAGCGGCTTTCAATTTCTCTCTTACACTATCTTCCTCGAAGCCGTAATCAATCATTTCGTCCTCCATGGCTGTAGAATACCGAACTTTGTTAGAAGTCCGAAAAAATCCTTCTTCCTTCTGTTTGATAGCGAACCTTCTTGAATCTAATCGTGACATCACGAAAATTCCATTACGCATGAGCAGTCCAAACAATAACTCTCTCCAGATCGCTAAATCACTCGGCCGGAAATAAATGATCTCAAGGGAGACACCCCAAGGAAACGGATCGCTTCCTGTTTGTCGTGGTGTTCTAAAAATATTATACAAAACAAAAATGCTTCTTTCAATTGTGATTATCTCGTCTTGCAGTGCAGTCAAGTATCAATAGTTGAGCTTTTACAGGAAAGAAAATTGCGTGCTAGACTGGTCGTACCGGTAACAGGATTAAATTTACACCTTTTGTACCTCAAAAAAACTTGTCTGACCGGCTGAAATGCGAAGAAGTACAAGCAAACATAATTAATCGAAAGGGGAACTGACCAGCCGACCGGGAAAAGCCCTTATAGACACTTGATGTTCGTTAATAAAGAAAAAAAAAAGCTGACCCTGCCTTTCATCAAATGATCAAGATTAGGAAATCATTTTGAAAAGCTGAGCGTTAAAATACGGTTTTGATTGATGGTAACGCAGGGACAGCAAAGCCTATTTTTAACTGAGGATGCTTGAAAACGAGTATTGCAGAAGGGTTCGGGGCTTACCCTTTCCCCCCTAGTAATGTTTGAAATTTATTATTCATGCTAATTCTCGCGCTCTTCTTCATACTAACCTCATGCTAACACAAAATGAAACTTCGTCCTTGCAAAAAGTAGGGAGCTAAAGCAGCCCCAGTTCCATCGTCCTTGTAACCTTAGTGAAAACAGGAGCAGAGTTAAATTATATTAGACCACCAACTAGGCTTTAAGCTGGACAGATTCAAAATAATTATATCGAGATTATCGCGACGAACATAACTTCTTAACCTTTCCACCGTCTATTTCGAGTCAAAGACCGAGGTCAGAATACTGCATTAGCATCTTGCCAGATTGTGAAACGACCCAGATTGTTGCTTCATCATCATTATCATCATTGTTATTATCATTTTTCCCAAAAAAAAAAGAAAAAAGGCGAGAATCACATACACACGTAAACCCTGTCTCTTAGTTCCCTATTCCCCCTTTCCTGTCCTCGGGCTGTCCCCGCGTGTCTTCTTACGGGGGAAGATCAACCCCTGCAATTTTATGTTACGTCTATTTTTTGTTGATCATATCTTGCATAGATCCTATCAACACCGTCAGCACTTTCCTTGAGGCTCGTGAATGAAATTTAATCACAATCTGCAGCACGCCCTTCACCGCAGCCTGTTTAAGGGTGTTTCGACCGGGAAATCCACTTCCGTATCAGTGGGTACGTATTGGCTAGGGACGGAAAAAAAGTGAAGAAAAGAAAAGAGAAAATAAATTTAGGCAATTCCTAAAGAGCCTTTCGATGAATCTCTTCTACCTCAGAGGATCAGGTTCGCGATCCAATCATACAACAAGGTACAGCCGAGTTCAGGAACTGGACTATTTCACAAAAAGAAGAACAATTTTCCAAATACAAGGGTGACGTGTTTATTACAAACAACATTTCCTCTCGTGAGAATCTCTCCCACTGCATGTTTACGGTGGTAAATTTCCCAGTGTGTGGAAATGAATAGAGCAGGAAAATAGGCGTTTGATTACTGGCTAATCATCCGCCAGCTGGTCACGAATGTCTCTCCGTGCCTCTCTCGGCCTGCCTACACGCAGATAATGTCACACAACATCAAAAGTTTTTTGTATCCTTTGTTTAAGTCGCTAAAAAAATCCTCCAAAATTTAATTTTTACGTTACAGAGGAATTCGCTGCCAATTACGACTCGCAGACAAGATTTGTTGCATCATCCATCTTGCTCTTTCTTAAAGCAGACTTGTATGGTGACCAGACAAATGAAAACAGTGGCCATCAGGTTATCTAATCCGCTGCGCACTTATGAAAAAAAACTCCATTTTGTCTACTTTGTTGTGTTCGACGTAAGGAGAACGCATACTATTTGTGTCGCCTCTCTCTGGATGTTAAACGATTTCACCAAGTCCACCGACACCTTTGAATTAAGTCCTTAACCAAGATGCTGAGCTTTTCAACCATATTGTTGTGTTCAACTTTACAACTTGCTTATAACACTGCGCGGAAAAATATATCACTCTCTCTGAATATTTCTGCCGAAAAATATTATTTTCCAGAGATCGAACGTTCCTTACAAGATTTTGATTATTACTTGTTTTACAAATAAATTACCAAGATTTAAATACATTTAATAGCAATGTTGTATTTCGCAAATTATTATGTGACTGTGCCTGTATGCAAAAGCGATAATGTCATAAATAAAAAAATAAAATAAAAGTAGAAACTTTAATTTCCATATTCCATGACTTTGCCATAGATTCTCAAGACACTTACAAGTTATTCAACATTTGGCGTAATTGTTCGAGCGGTCAGGCTGATCACTAACTCAGACTGAATGAAAACTCGTGAAAGCGTAAAGCGTGACTATTAATTAATTAATTAATTAATTCTCTCTCCCCCAGTTTCACTGAGTGAGTAATTCCTGTGATTGGGGCCGGGGCTCCTGCTAGTTAATTAATTGCGCAATGACAACTTCAGGCCTCACGGGAGAACAAAAGTTAAAGGTATTATTGCATTAATATAAGGTTTATTTTACACTCAGTACATGTAATTCGGTTGTAGTAATATCACGTTTCGTATACGTTATATACCATCGAGAGAGCGAGATGCAATCCGAAATATCATCATTTCGTGCCATTATGAATTTCTTTAACTTAATGCATTATGACACGAGTGTCAGTCGCTCTTTTTAAGGGTTTATTACTGGCTGAACTAGCCGGTTCTGAGCGAAATTTAACGAGCGATCTATGCAATTGATTACGAACTACTCTGGCCGTAGCAGTGACGGTCTCAATGAATTCACGTGAAAAATGAAAATCTACGGGAGTTATGAATAAAGCTCTGAATATTACATATCTAAATTACCTCTCGGTCTGAATATCTAAATTAAGTGAAATGAAATGTTAGTCGACGCGTTTGGGATATTTTTCAGCCTTCATGGGCCATTTGAAGCGTCTCTTTAACTAAATTATTTTTGGCCGTCTCACGTCAACAATTATTAACCCCAAACACATAGTGCGGTCTGGCTGTGGTATCACAGCCATATTACCCTCGGTAACGTCACGCAACATACATAAACACTTCCAACTGCTTAATAACCGAGCGTGAGGGCCGTACTGGGGAAATTTGGCTCGAGGTCGTGGCAGAGCGAACAGAGCACCGAAGGCCAATGTTTCCCAGCACAGCTTAAGCAAACAAGGTTAGTTAGTTAGTAGTTTATTTATGGCACTCGTACCAAACTTAATTATTTTGAATTTGCCTGCAGTATGGCTTATATAACCCTTTTTTTTTGGAAACGATCCGTATGGCAAAATACGGACTTAGTTGTTAACGCCCGGATTCACCTCAGGACTACCTTGCCATACGGAAATGTAGTTTATTGAAAACTTAAGTTTAAAATTTGATTTTCCCTCAACTTGTCTTTATCCTACAGTATGAGAGAGACGGTTATCTTGTCGTAGAGGACGTTTTTGATGCTGCCAAAGTCAAAGAGCTTTCTGATGCCGCAGATGATTTTGTTAAAAGGTTGAGTATTATATACACTTGGTATGAAAATATGCTGGTCAGGAGGGGCCGGAAGGGAAATTATTCTCGTGCTCTCATTTTAAGAAAGAGAGGGGACACAGGGCGCGAGGAAGGGTTTTCAACAAAGCCGGTTACTTAAGTCATAAGTCTTAAGTCATACATAAGTCCTATTACCGTTGTGTGATTAGCCAGGGTGCAGGCTCTTGAGTTTGAGGTTAGCCTTGAGGCCCACTTTCTGCGTACAGCCGCCTACTACACCATCTATAGCAGCTTATGGAAAAAGTTACTGAAAGCTCTTCAACCTTGCGTTTACAATCGACTAATTTTGTAATAGAATTGAAAATGAAGATTGCCTGCCCCTGACGATTGTTACTTATGATGCAAATACACCCTCGGGACTTGGGTTCCTTTTCAATTTTGAGTATAATTGAAAGCTTGCAAACATGGTAAAGAAATATTACATTAAACCATCAATTAATTGAACCCTCAGAGGGCTAGGATAATTAAACGCCCAGTGAATTAATTTAATAGTCCATTTTAAAGTTGCGTGCTTGGTTGCCAAGCCTTTGAACAGGAGTGAGGCTAGGGGTGACCTTGTTATGATACAAACCTTGCTGCTTTTCAAGTGTAAATTACTTTGTTACCATGCTAACCAGATACTGGTCTCTATCATAAGAAGGTCACCTTCAGCCTCACTCCAAATCAAAGGCTTGACAACTAAGTATACAACTGTAAAATGGCCTGTTCAGGGCTATGTTTGAATTGCCAACTGAACATGACAGGAAATGAACAGCCGCTGTGTTGAATTGCTTGGAGCGTGGGAGCAGGCCATCATTATGAGCGCTTCGGCTCGAGCGTTTTTTCGTCCGTGATAAAATTTGAAGCCCTCAAGTTGAGCACTGCAGGTCGGCGAAAGATCTCAAGGGGTCTCGCCCTACCAGACCCTCTGAAAGCTCTTCCCGCCGGACTCGTCTCAAATCTTCCCTAGGGTAGAGAAGCGCGCGTCCTGCTGCGCTAATAATGATGGCTTGCTCGTATAGGCTTATTTCTCGTGAGTTTGAAGCTCATAAAAATTCCGTAACTGTGGGAAGATATGAAAGTCAATGTAATTTTTGACATCCAACTTTTTGTCTGTCTTGCTTATTTTTCTTCAGAAGCGCCACTATGACCAACTCAGATAAAAGTTTCCATCTTGAGTGGAGAGACAACTCATTCAAGCCTACTTTAAAACGAGTTTCACTTCCTTCCGCCATTAACCCATTATTTGAGGAAATACACCGCGACAAGAAACTATTAGACATTGTTTGTGATTTGGTGAGTCATGTACTATATCCAATAAGTAAATAAACCAAGTAGGCAAAAGTGCAGTGAGTATAGAATCTTCAATTGTTGATCCTATTTTCAGGTTCCCTTCAAAATGACTGATTCGGAAGCACAACAGATTTCTTTTATTGATATGTTTGTTAGGTTTTCTTCGACCCGACCGTAAAATAGCAATCCAATCATCTGGAAATCGCTGGTATACCATAATTTATTGACTAAGCGCTTACGCACCTATGGGTGCGCCCCCCCCCCCCCCATACCAGGCCATAATCTCACGCAAGCGCTCCTCTCGGATGAGCGTCCACCCCTCCTTCCTCAATTTCTTAAATAGCGGGGATACAAGAACCAAGGGGGAATTAGTACAGGAGAATAGTATCTTTTCCACTAAGTTACTTCCGGTAATTTTTCTATCTCTATATTGCCTTTATAATTACGTATATGTAGATAATGTTAAGTTTTTGTCTTTCTATTGAAGATTTCGCCAAAAAAAAAGGGTACAATTCGTTGAAAAATAATTTGACAAGCGCCTCTCTCGATCAAGCACCCTCCTTCAAATAAGTGCACGTCCTTTTAGTCGAGAGGACGTGCCCTTATTCGAGGAAATACCGTATATGTATTTCACTGTCAGAATGTGTGAACACTTGAGATAATATTCCTGAGAAAATATCCCGCAGCTCCGTCTCTCTTCCCATATTTCGGTTCTCTAGTTTTGAAAGAGACTTGAAAGATCTGTAAATTATTTGACTTTCAGATTGGTCCTTCCGTCCGTTACAACCAGCACGACGCCCTATTCTTCAACTTTCCACAAGGTGGCAGTTTTCCGATCAAATGGCACCAGGATTGGACTTTTTGGCCTCACACAAATAAAGACCTTGTGATGGGCTTCCTTTCAATTGATGACTCTAGCAGAGAAAATGGTAAGAAAATAAATACGGCCTCTATAACAAGTACTGGGGGAGGAAGGGCAAGTGCACATACAATTTTTTAAGTCTCCAGGCGAACTTTGGTCGTGACTTCCCTCCACTCACCTTCTTATTAGTCTGAGCGCCGCATTCAAATTTTTCCAATGGCAGAAAATTGCGCGTAGAAATCCCAATATTTGTTATATTATTCCCGTGAGAAATTTATGTTCTCATATTAAAACCACCCTGAACTTCGCCAAAAATATAAGAAGGGATAAATTGATTTTTGAGGTTTTAGCATGGGTGATTGCTACAACAGTGAATTAACGCGTTGAGTAAATTTTTTCTTTCCTGCGCGTTGAACTTTTTTAATCGGAGAGGGTATCGTGTCTTTTTTTTTTTATCAATTTACTGTATTTTTCAAACGCGGCTGATTGAATCAATAGTTCTTATTTTAATTTCAAAGATCTTTTGCTCTTAATAATCAAGCGTGTAATTGAGTGCCCTTTCTTTTAAGACAAAAAATTTTCAAATTAGGACCCGATTCAAACTTTTCTCATTACGAATAAACTGGCATGAGATGTTTCAGAGAACTAAGCAAACCACGACTGTAACTGCTTCCGTTGAAACTAAATGTTGCCGCTTCCGAGAAAAGTTGCGAAATATTTTTTGGTTAGATTAAAGCCCCCGTGATTAGTTCCTTTTAGACAGAAGATTATAGTTAGCGTTTCAGTTCAGGATAAGACCCCGCGTGATCAAGGTCGTTTTTGAATAGAAGACGAGTTAGACCGTAATCCTCGATAAAGTAATCAAGACCCACGAACGTTGGTAAGCAATAACTTTTTTTGTGATTGTATTACCTAGCTCGTAGTTGTTACTCAAAGCGAAACCTATCGCTCCTTTTTTACCTTTCTTTTGGTTCTTTTAATTGCCACGTACTCGTTTCTAAAATCGAGATTATTCTTAAGCTATGATCTCAATACTTAGGTAATTTCTTCATGTAATGATTTCAGTTGACCGCTTCGATATAATAACGCCCCAAGGAATAGGAAAAGGAATAAAGAAAGAAAAGATTCTATATTGGTTTGTCTATCGCATGTATCAACCCGGGAATCGAGTTTCTAACTCTAGCTTGAAAGGAAACATTTACAACAACGGCGACGCAACGACTACGGATTGAGTGCAGAATTTAGAGTTGAGGGAAGGCACGACTTTGAAAGGTTATTTTCTTACTAAATATCAGGAGCACTTCTCACTAAAAATAGATCGAAGAAACTAGTTACATGTAAATCAACAAGTCACTTCATTTATTCAGGTTGTCTACAAGTCATACCGGGAAGTCATAAGGGTCCTTTTTATAATCACTTCATCGAAGACAAGTTTGCCTCTGAGATCAACGACCCGACGTTTGATCCCAGTCAAGCTGTTTATGTGGAGGTTCCCGCGGGTGGAATTTCGTTTCATCATCCATTCACTGTGCATGGTGCTGCCGCCAACCAATCAGATCGATCGAAGCGTTACTTTGCGTTATCTTTCACCGCCACAGATGCGTGGCCTCTCATCGGTGTTGTGGGCAAGGAGGAACAACTCTGGGGCCCAGTAGACTGGGACCGATATTGTTCGACTGTGGTCCGAGGTAAAGCAAGCAGATTTCCCCGGATGGAAGCAATTCCAGTGTCACTTCCGGTTCCGTTTTCTACCGAAAGTATTGCCCCTTTCTTCGCGCGCGAAAGTAAATCGATCCACGGCAACCCAAAAAATTAGGGGAAGAAATAGCATTTTCTGAAAATCGTGGACACTTTATTAAAACTTTTCATCAAAAGAGTTGAATAAAGAATAGTCAAACTATGCAATCATTAATGGCGTCTTTTTAATTGAATAATTTGTCAGATTTTCCGACATTCTTTTCCCTCCGATTACTCTTTCAAAAAATACCTATTAACAAGCGATTAGGTCATAAATTTAACAAACAGATTCCAAGTTGCCGTGCGTCTGTTCAGTAATAGATCACAGATGACGTCAAAATATGGTAAGAACAAAAAAGTGGCACACGAGGCGCAGCCGAGTGTGTCACTGATGTTCTTACCACATTTTGACGTCCTCTGTGATCTATTACTGAACAGACGCACGGCAACTAATAATGTTTTATATACTAAAGAATTAAAAAAGTTTTAATGATGACGTCATCTATACGTCTGTCCTCCAATAGATTATAAGTGAGAACCAATCAGAATGCGAGCATAACTGAGCCTATTATATAAAAGATAATCGAATTCATAATCAATTGCTTTCAACGGTCGATCTCATTTCTTGGGGCACTAAAGCGTAAGGCGTGGAGGCTGGGTTCTATTCGCGAAAACGAGGCAAGATTTGACAAATAAACGTCACTATGGTAACGTAAACGGACAGTAAATTAGCAGAAAAAGATGGCGGTTGGGGATGGAGGAGTTGACGAAGCTGTTGAACAGCTGATTAATACTGCTTCTGCCTTAGGGAGTACCACTATTGACCTCAGCAATAAAAGATTAACACAATTTCCTGCAGAAGTACTTAATCTACATCAATTAGAGGTATTTTTGATATCGTTTTAGACTAACTTTTTCGCGCGTCTTGATATCGGTTTTCACAGTTTCTTGAACAGTTTGTATTGACCTTTTCGAGTTGATTCGCTAACACCTTTGAATGGTATCGAATCAAATGATAGCGTTTGTTTGTGTTGGTGATATGAATTGTTAATAAGAGATTTCTTTTCTCCACTCTCTCCAGTTCTTGTATTTAGAGGGAAATGCAATCAGCTCCTTGCCAGAAGAGTTGTTTGATTGCCTGCCATACTTGAGATGGCTCGATTTGAGGAACAACCGGATAACGGATATTCCTCCCATAATTGGAAAACACAGGTTTGATAGAGAGTTTGATTATAGTTACTCATTGTTTTTATGCCTAAATGCCCAACAGCCGGGCAAGATCTTAATAGAGATTATTAAGAAATTGAATTTTCATAGAATTTTCCCAGGAAACGATCTTTCAAACCTATCGTATGTTTGTTTAGAAATGTCAGGCCATTCCAAAACTTATCTTTATTATAATTTCATGTTTTAGACGATTATTCCGAGCTTGTGGATCGCTAGGTTTTTTACTCTTAAACAACATTTCTGACAAAGCGATTTTAAGGTATGCACAAGCTCGCAAAATATTCGTCTGGGCTATTAGTTTAGGTAACAACATAATTTCGAGTGCAATTTGATGTTAATAAGCACATTCGAGTAAATTTTTCAAAGACATCAAAATTGCACGAGTTTGTGGGGTGAGTGCAATTTGTAGTCTTTGAAAAATTTACAACTATTTAAAATTTTGTAGTCTTTGAGAAAATTACAACTATCCAGCACAGCTTAGCAGTATTGCCCATGACATTCTTATGGCATTGCTTGCAAAACTCAAGATCAAACTTAAGAGTTGCCTAAAACTCTGAATTTATACCAAAATTAGCTAGCAACCTTGGTGGCAGGTTTACTGTTGTAAACTTGGTAGTGGTGAGATTGCCTTGGTAGTGAGCTTGCTATGATGTGACAGTCTGTCTGGTGGTGGAGATGATTGTAAAGTAATAGAAAAAGTGATTCTTTGAGTTTCTTTATTATTACATGCATAACAGCAAGACAAATGTCTTCAAAAATGACATTAGTTTTTACCGACTGATGGACCATCAATTTATAACTAACTGATATGTTACACAAGCTTATTGATTTCACTTATAAATTGAATTGTGTTCAGTCTTGTTATTTTTCCTCAACAGAAATTTGAGAAATTTACTATTGGAAGGAAACACCATAGAATCACTACCACTAGAGCTAGGTGAGAACAAAACATGTATACAATCTGTTGTGCCTTAACCCTTTACCCCCCAAGATCTCATTTGTAATTCTCCTTACAGTCTGCTATATAGTTCTTGTGATGTTGGTTTGGAGAATTTGGTATTGGATCAACTAATAATCCCCTAATTAAGATTTGTCTTCACTCTCATTACTTGTCTGCTTGATAGTATTTTGATATTGTAAGGAAAAATTATGTCTTGGTCACTCCTGGGAGTTAAAGGGTTAAATATACTTTCTCAGATGTGTAAGATAAAGGTACAACCATGATAGAGAGGTTTTTGATGGAGTGTCATAAAACCAAAACCAGTGTAAACACAATGACCAATTAGAGGAAATGACAATACCTTAACCCTTTAACTCCCAGATCAAATTTGTAATTCCCCTTACTGTCAACCATACAATTATTATAATGTTAGTTCAGAGAATTTAGTATTGGATCAACTAATCATCCCCAAATTGATAGTTTCTTTTATTCTCATCACTTATCTGGTTGATATTGTATTGATATTGTAAGGAGAAATTCTGTCTTGATCACTCATGGGAGTTAAAGGGTTAAAGGGCCAATGAGAGCTCAGAGTACACCTGACCAAAATGCCTCAAGTGTGGGATTGGTTTCAGTTTTGCATCTGATTGGTTGAGAGAATGGCAAAAGTTTCTGAAGAAAGAGAACAGTTGAGAGAATGTGCATAATGATGGTTAGCGCCTGTTATTTATACCTTCTTTTCAACAAAATTAAGAACCTTCTTAATTTTTTCTGTTTTTAGGCTTAGTAAAGAGTTTATCAGGACTCAACATTTCTAGCAATCCACTTGAATTTCCTCCAGCATTTATTGTGGAAAAAGGAACTCAGGTAATTTGTTTCAGGGCAATGGGTTAGTTGCTTTCCTGTGGATAAGTATGTACAAAACATACTGTGGTATCTACTGGGTGGAGATTTATCCAGTGGATGTTGTTGTTTGCCCTTTGAACAACCCAAGCCTGGAAGATAGTGTTAAATGAAATTTTCAGATTAAAGTTATAGGAAGGCAACTCTAAATAAGTGCACTTGGTACTACAGTAGTTAGCACTTACTTTGTTGGATTAGAGAAAGAGCAGTGAGAGGTACAATGTAGATGTATAATCTGGCTGGAGAGAAATAAAATGATTAAAAAAGAAATCAAAATAATTCAGAGATTTGTATGCTGAGTTATCACAAAGGCAAGTGAAAAAGAATACAACAAATACTATTTGTTACCCTTTAAATTTACAGAAATGATCACCATAGCTATATTGGCATACACATAATCTTTTTTTTTTTCACATCCTTGTACTGTTAGGCAAAACATTGTAGGAGTGTTCTTTAAGCATAACATATAAACAAAATTTTCAAACCAGAGGAGCAATCCTTTTACCAGATGAATTTTTCAAGAATTCTAAGGGATTTCAGGCCATAATGAGAGGTGCTACAGGTGTTAAATTTTACAGGTTGCCACCTGAAAAGGTGAACACTGCAGAATGATAAAAGTTGATGTATAAAAATTGTTCTCACTGACTTATATTTCTTAGTGTTTAAAACAGCTTATGTCACACTTAAAATAGTATGTTGTCAATGTAATTGTTTAATAAATAAATTATATTTTCCTGTAGGAAGTACTCAAGTTTCTCAGAGAACAGTACATGTTACAACTACAAGAAAGAGGTGCAGTCCTTGTAGAAGGTAACTACAAGCTCTAAGTGAAAAATGGCTGAAATTGTAAAAATCATGTACACAAGTACATATATTTTTAAATCAATTTTAATACTTTTCCATTTCAAGGAGTAACCAAGAAGTTTAACTAACTTCCTTCTTTTTACTCTGCATTTTGAGCAGTTTTTACCTAGATCAGCATGATTCTTAGTGGGTTGGGAATTGTTTATGTTAAAGAGATATCTCTAATTTTGGTGGAAATTCCAAGAATTCACAGGTTATTTTCTCTACTGTGTACTTATGGTTTAAATTATCTTCAAAAACTTTGGAAATGGGTGATTGTGTTGTGAACTATCTGGAAGTTGCCATGAATATTACATGCATGAATAATTGTGTTTTATGAGGGACTGAGTGAGTGACAACTTCTAAGGCACAGATTATTATTTCTTAAGTCATGTACCAAATATTGTTACATTTATTTATTATAATTTTTTTGTTTTGCATTTGTCTGTCAGAGCACCCAGAATCCTCTTCAAGTGAGGAGTTGCTATTTGCTACAACACGAGATGGTGAAATCACAAGTAAGTTTGGATACCTTGTTTACATTCTGATACTGTTTTATGAATTACAGTTCTGAAACATCTTGAACTTTGGGATAAGGACAGATTTTTCTTGAAAAAACTACAAGAAAATTTAAATATTACAAACTCCTTAACCAAAGAGCCTGAATAGATGTAAGAATTAAGACCATGCTCTAAACATTCAGCCAAATATTTTCCCATTCTGCCTGACCAAACTCAGTCATTAAGTATTTATCAAATTACAACTAAGTCTTTAAATTTGGAAATAACATTTGTGCCTAAATAAGGCACAATTATAATACATTGTAAAGGCGTGTTTTGACAACTGCTTTATTTCTGCAAGTCAGAGTAAGAAACTCACAATTCATCGAAAAGTTCACCTAGTTTTATTTTAAGTTTAAGTGCCCCATTAGAATTCATTGTTCTCTAGAAATGCAACAGAGCCGTACAAGTGTGGGGCCGCATGCCTTTTTTAGGACTGGCTCAAGTCAGCTTTCACTTTGGCTTTCTTTAGGATTAGGCAGTGAGGCTACACTAGTCAAATGATAATCTGCATGTTATTTTGGTGAAAAAGTTTCAAAATGATAGTGGTTCCTTTAAGTTGTGGTTTTTTTTACAACATTGAGAAAAGGGATGATTTAATTACAGTACAATTCTGATAATGATATACATGTACATGTGATTACAATGATTAATGGAAATGTATTGAAATATAATGACTGTAATCTGAAGCCAGAAATATTGTTAATGATGAGAATAATAAAAATATCTTAAAGAAAACATTGGTAAAGATATTTGTCACTCATAAAAGATTAAAATAAACCTTAATTTGTCGTGTTTGTAACATTCCTCCAGACACTGAGAACAAGTAGACTAAGTAAAAATCGCCATTTAGAGTGCATTTCAATTAATTGTCTTAAAACCAAAGCCAAAATAATCCAATCCCCTAATCAGAGGTAAGGGAAATAAAGCGCTTTTAATTTGAGTGTCGTAAAACCGAATCCAAAGTTATTGGAACAGACAGTCAGATCAAGGGAAAATTATCACAAGTAGATAATGAGAGGGCAGAGTAAAATCGAGTAAACTGCGTAAAAAAGCGCGGGAAGACGCTAGTGACCAAGATGCGATTGGTTTTAGTTTTGCATCTGATTGGTTGAGAGAGTGGTGCGAGTTTTCTGGACCAATCAACGACAAAGGACATTAATTGTAATCCCAGATTACTTTCAAGAACTAATGGAAAACGAGAGCGTACTAATGTAGTTACTTGCTGTCTTCCATGTAAATTGTCTTAGTTGAGAGGTGAGACATGCAAATTTAAAAGTGGATATCACTCCATTTATGGATAGATTTACTGTGTTCCTCGATCAAAATAACTTCTGTTTTAATACGTTTGGCTTGGGCAAAATGTCATGTGATGGATCCAAAAAGAAGCGAAATTGGAATGTTAACCTTTTTTCCAAAAATATCGTGCTAGATTTTGAGCAGAATGTCTGAGAAGTTACTGATATCCACTTTTAAATCTGCGTTTCAGGGGAAAGAGAGTACGTGGATCAAGTTGAAAACGAGAGAAACATAAAAACGGATAGAACTTTCAAGCTTCCGCCGATCATCCAAGCGGCGGCAGCGAGACCGAAAAACCGCTCGGTTGACGAGTCGGAAGAAAACTTGCTTAGAGGACAAAAAGCTCGGAAATTTGAACAGGAAAAACCAACGCGAATTTTTGAGCAAAAGTCCCCAGTGAGGACGGTGAAGCCCGAAGCAAGATCACCGAGGAAAGATGTTTCTTTTTATGGTCCAGAGAAGAAGGACGGGAAAGTTCAGTTGAAACCATTGGAGGGAAAACGGCGAAAGGGTGAAAAATCAGATAACTACTTGGAAAATTCGAACAGTAGTTTAGAATTGGACAACAATTTATACATTGTGGATAGCCATGGCAATGGAAGAAGAGAGAAACGCGAGAAAGTTAAAACGAAAAGATTGCCGAAGCCTGAAAACCCTCAGAAAAGGTTGCCTGTAGTGGGGAGCTCTGTTAGTCACAGCGATGCAGATGTGTCGACTTCGCATCAAGACTCAAGCAATGTGAAAGAAACTGCCACTTTGGAGCTCCAGAAAAATCAACTAACTGTAGATGAAAAAGCTTCTAAAGAAACTAAAAAACCTAAACATCCCGAATATTCAGGTGCTCATGGATTATATAGCAAAGGGTCAAAGCCATTGTCTGTATTCGAAGGGGACATGGTTGCTGTCAGAGTGCCAGAAAAGCTATACATTAAGGGACAGCCCTGTCTGGGCAAAGTAACATCATTAGCAGACCACCAGGGATTGCTCACGGTACACTATTTCACGGGTAATTATGGAGGCCGGTGGAGACCGATGATGAGCAGAACAAGCCCGTATCTGAGGAAGGTGGCTGCCGATAATGTTCTATGCAAGTTTAAATTGACTACTGATGGCCGTATGTCGCCTATCACGCAGAAGAAGTTGAGAACTATTGTTGATGATCAAAGAAATGAAAACAGTGACCCCAACTGAGGCAGAGTTCTGGAAATGATCTACCCAGGAACCGAAAAGTTTATAGGAAAGGATACAGTGCAACTAGACTCGGAACAACTTCAGCTCGTAGGAGGAGAAAATCAACGTTCCTAGCCCTTTTTAATTTTATTTGACATGTATCTTGAGACTAGCAATTATTTAAAATATCTACTATGCTTTTGGATACTAATATTACTCTCTAACTTTTATTTGCGCTCCTAAAAAGGGATTTTTTTCCGACAACAAGTCGGAAAATTCGGTAGCGAGCCGAGTAAAATAAGGTATTAACATTAACAAGAAAGGTATTTTCACTCTCTCTAGTCATTTAGGATTTTTTTGTCTTGATCATGAATGTCTCTCAGATGTTAACTTTTTTAGAGCTTTGTTTCCTATAATAGATTAACAGCATCCTTAGAGAAGATGAAAATTATGTGAAACGTTAAATAGATATGAATTGAGATTAGTAATCATTTAGAATATCGACAATGCTTTTAGGATACTCAATAACTCCTCTGGGTAGGATTTTTGCCCCACGAAAAGGGATTTTTTTGTTTTATTTTCTCGACAACAAGTCGTAAAATTCAATAGCGACCAGAGGAAAATAAGGTATCGAAATTAATAAAAAAAAGGTATTTTCACGTCCTCTAGATACTTAGGGACTTTTATTTTAACCATAAATGTCTCAAATGATAACCTTATAGCTTTGTTTCCAGTGATAGATTAATAGTATCTCTGGAGCATAATAAAATGATGCATAACAATTAGTACTAAACATGACAAAAGTTGAAAATTAAGGAAGAGCTACATTTCTCTAATAATTGTTTCAGTTATCATGCATAGCGCCCACAGCTTTACATACCTTAAATCAATAATACATATATATTTTTATAATGATAAACTCAAAGTATACCTTTATATCAAAATGTATAGTCATTAGTCTTTGAAAAAAGCGTGTAATTAAAGCTTTTATCGCTAGATGTATATGTAGTAGTATTTTGATAGAGAATAATGCTAACTTTAGTGAACTTCATAATTATATCACGGTGTGCTTGATTGGCACAGTGTCTGTTTTTGTTCAGCTAAACGTGCATTTCTGAATGTGAAGTCACTGTACACGACAGGGAATTTAAAAGAAGAGTTGATTTTATCGGCTGAGTTGATGATGTATATTGGCCACTGTAAAGAGTTTCAAAAACCGACGTTTCGAGAGAAAAGTGCTAACGATCTTGTTATACTCCGAAAGACACAGCACCATAGTTTCTTTAGAAACACACCTCTCTTAGGGAATGTATTTGGTTGTTACTTGACAAGTTTATACGCCTTCTGTTTAGTGTCCAGAACACGATCTTTCTACAACCTCTCTTTGTTTAGACCATGCGCACTTTGTTTTTGGGGAGGAGGGGCGAGATCGCGAATAACATGCAGACAGGGAGAGCAGACACGCGCCAGTAAGCTCTCTCTGTCTTTAGCGTGCCTGTCTAAACAAGGGACCATTATTTATCGCCCGGGGACTGGAAGATTTTGGTTGTCCCCCTCTCCTCCCCCGTCATTGGCAGTTAAATGGCAATCGATTTTCTATGGTCCTTACTGGATACTCAGTTGACGACGATTTATGTAATCCCCTGTAATTTCCTCAAATGTCCTCCACCACCCGCTCTCAGTCGATTAATATTGACTGTTCCCTAATTACTCGCACTTTCCGGTGTAAACATTCGCGCGAGGTCGAGTCGTGTTGGACAAACCTCATCCTAGCATTTCCGTCTCGGCCAAACCTGTACCCTACAGTAAGTTTTGATGTCGATTCTTTCCGGTCAATTTTAATCTAGGTAAGAAGAATGCCTCATCAACCCGCCGGAGAAGAAGTAAAACAGATTCGAAGCAGCTTCCAGGACTTATAAACACGCCGGTAACATTCCATCCCCCTCCGTCGCGGTCAGACGTTTTACGGCGAGAATATGACAGGCAAAGGATGGAACTGCAATCAAGCAGCGGACAGACAGTGGATATCCGAAGCAGGGAACTGACAGGGTCCGGTAAAAATGCATCTAGGCTAAAGAAAAGCAGTCCTAAATCGGAGAGGTATGGCCTGACCTGTAAATGAAAACTGATCAACGTCAGTAAGCAACTGCGCACCTACCACCAGAGGCGTCCCAAGCTCACGTCTCGAGAAAAAGCAAACGATTAATTCATGAAAGCGTCTCGCGGTGTGTGACGCGGTGTTAAGTTACGCAAGGAACCACAGGCGGCCCAAGCTCCAGGTGTGAGAAGATCATCTTGCACAATAACAGTCATGACAGAAATATAAGAGTTTATATGAGAATATTTACGACCACTCATCTCACAGCTGGAGCTTGGGTCGCTTGTGAAGGAACCGTTGAGAATTTGAACGCGCTCCAAGAAATAGTACGGGGAATGAAATATGGTCGACTGACAACGCTAAATATTCCGAAATATGAACATTTTACACGCAAGATTAATAGAACGTACTCAATCCTTGTGTGTCCGTTGTGGTTTCTGGTGTTTAGGTGTTTTGGTGTTTAATTGACGACAAAATTTTGTATATTGGTTGTTATATTTAATTACACCTTTATTGACAAGGATATTGGAAAAGGAGTTTTACGATATGTTTTTATCGATAAATTGGCCTTGCTTTTCATAAGTGTGTAACTACAGAAAGACTTGATATAGCCCGCAATATGTTTTCTTCAACCAGAATGTCTTAGTTGTCAAAGTCACTGAGGCGCTAACTTAGTTTTACTAAATTTAAGTTCCAGATCAGCTCGGTTCCAGTACGACGCTAACGCGACTCCAACATTCCCAGATTACGAAGCTCGGTTGGCTGAGCAGCAAGAAATGGCGATTTTAGCTGTGATGAATGAAAAAGAAGCCTTGATTTTGCAGAAAAGGAAGTAAGTTAGTGCTATTGAAAATAATTAGCAGAATTAGATGTTTCCTATTATTAGTTTGATCGATAAAACATCATTGCAGTTTAGTAACACTTTGCGACTATGCCCCTTGCCCAGCCCGGATGTTCAACATGTTAAAAAATATGTTCATAGGGATGTTTTTAGAGCATTTTTCAATAGGTGTCGTGCAATAGCATGTAACTGGCATCAGCTGGCATTTCAGGTTGTTTTATTGTTATGTCAGGTTGTTTTGTTATGTGGTATGATGGTTAAATGCTATTGGTGTGTTTTTGGGGGTTCTCATTGGTTCATTTCGAATCTCGTTTTTAATCGGTGGCGTCGGTGTTGTTCCTACAGAGATCCCCTCGGTCACTGATCGGCTGTAGTTATGTTTGAAAAAGTATACCAACCTGGTATCAGTTACCATGTCTGACAATTCAAGTCACTCTTGTTAGTTATTTTAAATTGTTTTCTGAATAATTTCAGAACGCAAAGGCATCATGATAGAAAAAATCTCTTTGAACTTGAATTTGTTTGAAAATTCTCTCCCTTTTTGCTGTAGGGATAAAAAGGCCCTAGATGACTGGCGGGAAAAGACTAAACTCCTTCGTCAACAAAAGCAGAGGCTTTCCGCCGTAAAGGGCTCTTCAACGGGTAAGGCTTCCAGCAATTTCCACCAATTCGTTTGTCTCTCAATTACTTAGACGCACTAAAAAAAAAAGATGTACCTGGTGCTTGCAGTATTCTGAACGCTCTCAACCATGATATGAACTTTACGTGAGATTTGTTACTCAGGTACGAGTTCATTGAAGCTTAGTTGTTAGAACATCAAACTGCGAAATCGTATGGTGCAGAGTACTTCTGTTAGGAACAATCACTTAGTGTAATGTAAATCTAGACTTGTTTCGGCACTCAATCAAAAACTTCTTTATCGCTGGTTGTGTTTTGTTTCATTATAGTTGAAGTAAAAGCACCGTATGGAACCGAAAAATCTGCCAAGGAAGATGAAAAGGTAGGGTGGTAATATGAAGCGTTTCGCTCCTGTAATGGTGTTTTCCATCAGTAGAAGTTGGAAGTTAACATGAATTCCGTAGACATTAAACTGACAATAAATTGCTGTGTGGACTAAACTATAGTCAGGAGATTTCGTAACCATGTCTTGGTCTTTAAAACGACAGATATTCAGGGGCGTGCTGAGAGATGCAAAGTATAATGCTATGCTTCTTTCGTGACTTGTAAGAGGTTGTGATCTTGTGGTAGGCGAGCGATGTTCTGTCACGTAGATTCGACGGTATATGTGCTCATATTCTCAAGAGAGATTCAGGTTCCCGGTGGTTAGTGTGATAGACTCGTGATTGAAAGGTTTGGCATCGGGTCCTGACCCAGTCATTGCGCCGTGTTTGTAGGCAAAGTAGTTCATTCTCTCGGTGTATTTCTTCCCTCTGGGGTATATATAGTCTTGTTGAATACCCAGGGAAATATGATGAAATTCTGGCAAGGGGAGGAGTGAGAAGGGGAATCCTGTGATGACCTTGAATTGGATTAGCAATACTCCCTGTCGACTCATGCTACGAAATTCAGCAGCAATGGAAACCAGGTTCGCATGCCGATCTTTATACACAGTTTCTCTTGAAGGACAGCTTCGATCTCTTCATAACTTGTGTCCACACAGTTTATGAAAGGCAAACGATTGTAACAACAGGGAAATGTTAACCTCCCTTCTTAATAAAAGATCTAAGGGCATGAGATTAATAGATAACATTAAATTTTGTTTCTAGTCTCCTCACGGCTACGCGAAGAAACTAAAGGAACTATTGGAGGAAAAGGATGGCAAAGGAGCGGCCAGAAGGTGGTGTACTTAAAATTGTACATAAGAGCTTAAAATCTAGGGTTGAACTTGAAAACGAGAACAAGCAATAAAATCTTTGATCCTAAACCTGTCTTTTATGAAGTTTCAACAGCTGAAATTGTGGACGAGACGTAACTTAAATACTTGGAGCTAAGTTGAAATTTGTGCTCTGATTTGAAGACTAGTATGAAATTTTCTCGTATTTTAAGTAAATATGTTGCCGTGAGATCCTTTTCGTTTACTTTGAGAGCTAGAGAGCTTTTTCTTTGGGTTACACCATGCGTCTTGTAACTATATAATTTACTCGCCGTTAGTGACTTTTGTTTTCTTTTTATGACACAGGACGCTTGAAGACCGTGATTTGGAGAAAAGAATTAAGGTGCACATGGAAAAGTTAAAAGAGCACCGAGGCAAAACGTACGGATCGATAGAGGAAGAGCTTGAATCTGCAAGAAAGAACCTAGAAATGGTAAGTGAAGCTTTATTTTTTGGGACCAGTGGAGTTTCGATCAAAAAAGAAACGAAACAGGCACAAGACAAATGAATTATTAAGTTTCTGTTTTAGAACAATTTTCGATTGAGTGTCGTAAAACCAAAATTATCACCTCCACCAATCAGATGAAAGGTAGATACCCTAAAGAGCCAATAAAAACTTGAAACTAACTACCTGAACCGCGGGAAAACGCGGGTAGCCAAGATTGGTTTTAGTTTTGCTTCTGATTGGTTGAGAAAGTGGCGCGAGTTTTCGGGGCCAATCACATAACGAAGTAAAGCAAAAACAAAGCAATTTCGGATCACTTTCGACACTCAATTGAAAATTACATTAATCAAGGTATTCCTCGGAACTGAGCTAAGTACATAGTTGTTAGCAAACGAAATGCAAGGAACATGAGAGTTGTCACAAATGAGAAATTCATTTTTGTACCGGGCTTAATGCAATAATAAAGTGTAAGAATTAGAACTGTATTGAAGTTCATATTCAAAGAGAACAACCATCCTTGAATCAACAAATACACCATGTAAATCTAAAACTATCCTTTTAATTCTCACACTTTCAAGCTTTACCTCTTTTCTTGTTGTCACCATTCATCATAATTAGCATTGTTCTACTTACTATATAATTCAACTGCCAACGCTTTGTACAGTAATTAACTGAAGATGACAGAAGTTTCTGTCGAAACATGTTTTACAGACTCAAAAGTTTTGTCGCTTTCTTTAAATTCTTGACTTGCCTGCTAATATCAAGACCCTGTATTGAAGTTAATGTGAATATCTTGCTCTAATTCACTGGATGCGCCCCTCTCCGTTTGGTGATCAGGGTGCTTACTCTACCAACCTTATAACCTCTTAACCATTTACACCCTAACATCAGTATGCAAATTCTCCATGCTGTTATCCTTATATTTTCCATGGTACTTACAAGGAGAATTTGTCTAACAATCAAGAACTTTTTGCGTTTGCGACCATCTCCTTTATTCTCATGACCATAATGTTTGATCCATGTGTGATACTGTTGGGAGAAATTAGATGCTTATCACTTTAAGTGATTAAAGCGTTAATCAATTCTCCCTAACTACAGGAATTTACAGTAATGTTTTTAGACAAAAAAAAGTCAGATTTTCATCATTATTTGTTTGATGACAGGCTCGTGAGTTTCAGCGTGAAGTCAAAGACAGAAAACAGTTGGAATATCGTTTGAGGGCCTTTACTGGAGACGATGTGTCTTCTATGACCCGGAACACAAAAGAAAAGACAAAAAATGCTCCGAAATAAAGATGAACTGCTCGGATAATGTTATGTACATAAGATTGTGGAGAATTTTACACAGAGTGGTGTCTGAGTTATGTTTTAAGATTAATATATGATGAACGTTTTCTATGATTTATAGCCGTTGGTTACGAAAGGAATTATTTCAGAATGTGTCATATTTATACTTTTGAAAATCATAATACTTTTAGTTTCCTCACCAGTGCTGTTATTCACTGTACAAAGAATAAAGAGATAAAGATCACCCTTACTGAGTTTGATTTATGCTGCATCACGTGGTGATTATTTTGGATCTGGTGTTACGACGCGCGCTATTTGACTGTGAAAATGTTCGATGTTTGAGAGCTTGGCATGAATTTAGAACACAGATTTGAGAAATATAACTCGATGTTAGCTCTCCGCGACAATTTCACAACGTAGGTTCTCCGAAACTTGAGCACACAGTTTCGGAAAGCCGCGCATATTCATTGCTGTATTGCCGCTGTCTCTTCATAGAGTCCTTACTTAAGGTGCCCGTTAACGAAGGCTTGACTGTAACTAAAGATTGAATGACTTGCCCTTAGCCGAGGTAAAGCAAGCATGCCCAGGCGTTCCTAGCCTGGTTTCCAGGAACAGAGCCCTAGAATAAGTATGAAGACTGTGACAAAATAGCAAAACAAGTTGTAACTATAATCATTTGACTTTGCTCCTTGCTAAGTGGTAACAGCCTTCTTATCTCTAAGTTTTCACGGGGAAGAGAACATGGATGTCCTTGTGACTAAAACGAAAAAAAGTTATATAATCAACAGCTTTCGGTAGCTTGGTTTGCCTTCCGCTTGGATCTGCTGCAACCTTTACTGATAAGCTTAGCACAGACTGGACCGCGGTATAAATGAATAAACCGCACATCAAAACCAACTCCTGAAAAATAAATCACAACAGCGATCATATATGTAAAGGAGAAAAAAATCCTGTTCCGAAGAACCCTAGTGTTAAATTTGGAGAATGCGGAATTCTTTCGTAAGCTTACAAAATTGAGTTAGGTTTATCATACGCGCTGAAGCGCGTAAGTAATTAACGCACGTGCTAGCTCCGTTTGTTTGCGTCACAATCAAGGGAACTTACACCGAATAAAAAAGAAACAACAACGACGAGCAGACACATGGATCGAGTGCTTCTAAGCAATCAACAGTGGTTTGTGAAAGCTGGACCAACCGTGCGGCTAGAGTCAAATGCGTCTTTTTGGTTTGCCGTGGCATTCTCAAGAACGACGATGGAGCAGTAGTTTTACGATACATGGGTTTTGAATGATACACGAAAACAATCTTCGCGATTCGACGGTATGTTTTTTCAAGGTTTCTTAATGTAATTCTGGATTAGTTTGGACACTTACTTAAAAATTGCCCTAATCATGAATATCTGTGCTCATTTCAGTTATCCAGTGTCTAAAATTTAGAATTTCGCCTTTTACTTTTGACTTTGCATGGAACCGTTACACCGCAGTTCGAGCTTTTTTATGGGTAACCCTCACCCTGATTAGTAGGCTTTGAATGGAAATGTTGCCTTAACTAGCCACAAAGTAAATGCTTTTATCGTGTATATGGAAATTGTGTGTTTCACTAAGTGCAACTTTCAACCAGATTTAGCAGTTTTTCATAAAAAAATCTAGATTTTGCGCAAATCGATTAGTAATGAAGCTAACATCTAATCACAACCGGAAAGTAAGAGCCGACCAGCGTTAAGCACTCAACTTTCAGTTTAGTCAAGGAAAGAAAAAGATTTCTTAACTTCATCTGTCAATACCAGCAATGTAGAAAAACATGAAACATCTATCAAAGAAATGACGAAAGAAAATAACTTAAAGAGGAAATTTTTCTGCGAAAGCTAAATGTTAGCTGTGTCTTCTTGATAAATCATCTGCAAAATGAAAAATTCCATGACTGTGGAAATAGCGGATCGCCATAGCAACACAGACCCAAATTTGCACATGCGCTACCAAATCGCTAAAGTAATTTACATATCCTTCGCTCCTCGTGGTTGAAAATGGCGCAGAATTTAAATTTGCAACGTAGAAAACAACTTAAGAAACAGAGGCGGACAACGAAAACTGAGAGATTGTTAGGAACAGTGCGGCGAACGTGCGCGGACAGCCGACATTTTGGATCTGACGAGTAAAAACGAGGAGAACAAGGTAAGAATTGAAATATTTCAACCGAGGATGTAATGGCTCCGGTTGCAGGAGAAATTTACGCTGCAAAATAGCCGGTGAAATTTAGAATTACAGTTAAGGATTTGTGAAATTTGTTGAGAGGCTGAAGGGCTTGTGGTTTTGAGGCGATGAAAGCCTCTTGTCCTGGATTGAACCTCGTGATAAAGCTGAACAGCAAGCTTGATGCTTTCGCTCCCCAGATCTCGTTAGTAATTCTCCTAACTGTCTGTCATACAATTCTTATGGTATTAGTTCGGTGAATTTGGGATTGGATCGATTAATAATTCCCAAATTGATTTTATTTTATCTCATCACCGATCTGCTTGAAATTGTATTGATATTGTAAGGAAATTTCCTGTCTTGGTCACTAATGGGAGTTAAAGGGTTAACTTCACAGCAAAAATCATCATTACATGTGGATGACTATTCATGTAATACACTGAAACATTTATTCACATTGTGATAAGTTCTTACAAATGATCTATTGGAGGGCAGAAGCACAGTTGACATTTCCATTTATCAACAATAATTTACCTCTCTGCTAAAAAAGTATATGAAATAAACAGTTTCCATGCTGCTGTGGGTCACAGGAGAAATCAAGATGTGATAAAAAACACCAGTGACACACTCCACTGCCCCTTGTGCACAACTATTTTGTCCTTACCACATTTTGACATTATCTGTGACCTATAGCTGAACAGAAACATGGCAACATGGAATCTATTTGTGAAATAGACTTGAAGAGTACAATGCATTGCTTGGTCAGATTAAGATTTTATTTAAGTAGATTGGGAGTTTATGCAGCTAATTAAAAGAACCCAAGTGTAATTCTACAGCTTCCTCTCATCTGTCTTCTCACTCACTCTTACACTGAGTTGTCTACAGTGCAGTTCAAAGATAAGGGGACATTGCAGACTATATTTACTATACAATTGTCTAACATGTATGCGTCTGTTAACAGACTAGTCTGAAAATGCATTTAGACAAAGTGTATGTGCCTCTGTTATTATTTAGCATATTTTTGCTTTGTGTGCTATCCTGATCCATAAGAAAACAAATGGCGATGTAAATTCGTAAAACTTTTATGAAAATGTCAATGAATACTGTCTTGTGCAAATTGTAGATGATATCTTTGATTTTATCAGGCAAAACAAAATTTTTCTTTAATGTTTCCATGATACACTGCTCACTTCTAATAGTTATTTTTCTGCAAGGAAGAGTTTGTTTTCTCTAACCAGTCTATAACTATTATACCATTGTGACTTTTGAAGTGTCACAGCAAGAAAAGAGAAAATCACTTCTTTGGTTCTCATAATAACAGTTTTCTAATTGAAACTTTCTACAATAAGCTGATAGAATCTACTTGATTCCTCTACAAGGGAAAGTTTGTGTTTTTGCATTTTTTTCTCTTTTTTTGCTTTTTTGTTGTGTTTTTGTTTTTAAGCATGGGGTGCAGACAAGAATCTATGGTGAAATAAGTTGGAATGTAGTGTCACAGCAAACACTGAGAAAATTATGTCTTGGATTGTAAGGCACAAAATGATCTGTTTTTAAAGACATTTTCTTTCTTTTAACTGTGATGGCCCCAAAAGTAATGTGTTATTTGGTTAGCAAACCTTGATGAAATTTGCCAATAAGCAAAATGTGTGAAAATTTAACAAGACCACAGCTGAAAAGACAAACACAACCAAAAGAAACACAAGATGATTGACTGATATTTGGTGTAGCTTAACCACCAGTTTTAACTGCAAATGCAGTGCTTTTCAATAAGATGTGGATTAGGTGGCTACTAATGGAAAATAATTTCCTGCTCTTAATAGCCCATTAGTTCCATTCAGGATAAACCGGCTTCAAATGGAGTTTTTGGTGTTTCACTTAAATAAATTGTCATTAAATATTAGTTTTCTTTGTAACAATTGTTTAACTGATCATTTTATTTCTAATCAAAATCTTCTATTTGCTGACATGCAAACCTGCTCCTTGAGTTTCACAAATTAGTCCTCTCAAAGAACATATAGTTACCGGTTACCAAAATTTTTTTTTTTTGTTCTTGGAAACTCAAAATCTTTCTTTTCTGGAAATGTTCTGTAATGATGAGAGTCAATATCAGTCATTTTTATAAGAACTTTTTCATTAGGGTAAAACTCTAAAAGATCTTGAGATATTTTAGGTCTCACTTAATGTCAGTTTGCTTGAATGCTTCCAAAAAGTTGTAGAAAGATTTAGAAAGATGATAACCATTCAGCATTGCATAATACTAGACACTTTCAACAGGCAGTCTACAAAACCAAAACAAGATAGTATCCTGTGTGTATCAAATTTCCCTATGAACAATCTCAAATTTTGATGCTTTGATTCAAACTGTACTTCCCCTGGTCATTAGCCAGATTCTATGTTTTCCATTCATACATTACTTTTTGACTCACTTTGTGATGCGACAGGTTTCTTCTGCTTGCAATTGGAAACAAACCTATCAGTCTCCTGGCTTAAAATGCAGAAAGCAGTCTTTTGTGATTGCAAGCTTTTTTTTTTTTTACTGTGTGAAATCAAAGTTATGCGTTAGTGAATTCCATGAGTTTTACTTCTTAAAAAAACCCTAGGATTGTTCTTGTCTGGAGAAGCATTGATACATTTAGCCAATGAATTGTAACTGTTCCCATGGCTTGTTTTTCACATCAGATTATAAACTATTGTCAATTGTCTGATTGCTGTCCAAAAAATAACAAAAAGTCCCTTAACTACTTGTGTTCTGGCTAACCAGTAACCAGCAGTGTAGCTTTTATTTTTTGATAAAAGGTTAGACACTAAGTATTCAATGGCTGTTTTTGTTCTTCTCTTTGTCATTAAGCCTTGGGTGAGCCATTTTAATGCAAAATTTTTTAAATCTTTGCCAAAAACCTGCAAATTTGAATCATGTGTGTTATTGGTTGGTATGCTATTTTGACAATTTTGACTTTAAGTTTGTTCTCTAACTAGCAGTTGAGAAGAACTATTGTTGCCTTAAAATTTTTTTTAAGTAAGAGATGATGTGTACTTCTACTTGGCATGATGAATTTATGTAGAACACATGAAACAAGCACAAAAAGAAAACTGCCAACGAAAGAATGAATCTAATGATCAAAGACCAAGGAATTTGAAAAATAAATAAGGTGAATACTCTCATACTAAGTTTACTTTTATTTTCCATGTTCTTTATTTATTTTTTGTTCTAAAAATTCAACTTGAACAAAGTACATGCAGCAATTCATAATAGAATACCCACCCAAGCTCCAGTGGGTGCCAGGTCTTATTGAAAGCACTACATCCTATAATAGAGAAAACAATCAGCTAGGTTGACATACATACTTAAAATAGTAGGCATATGCATCCACTGTAAGACTCGTATGCTCTTCTGTCAAGACTGGTCTGCATTTGGTCTGTAAGACTGTTTATCTGTAAGACTGTTTAACATGCACATATTGGTCCCCTTGTCTTTGAGTTGCACTGTAAATTTCAACTATTTTTTGATGGAAAGGATTATTTCTTAACCCTTTGACTCCTAATAGTGTCTAGCATGTAATTTCTCCTTATAATATCACCCCTGAATCACAATAAGGTCACAAGAATAAAGGAAATGATCACCAACTAAAGAAAGTCTAGATTATATTAAAGTTCACACAGCAACCAGGTGGTCACCAGGGGTCAATGATGAAGGCACTAGACAGGAGTGTTGAAACGTTGGGTCTATGAATTGTAACTTCTTCGGTTACATTCATTAAATCTGCAAACCAGTGTAGCATCAAACTATGTCTGAAAGTCTAGATTGTTATTCAAATTCTGCTTAGCAGCACCTTAGAAAATATATGGAGAACAGTATGGTAAATATGCATACTGATGTTTGGGTATAAGGGGTTAGCAATAGAACCCAACAAGTCTTCAACCTTGGTTTTCCAACAATTTTCTTCTAGTGAGACACTTCCAATTTGGAGTGTTTGTAAAAGTATTTAGTTAAAGTGATGACCTTTCTACACTTAAGGCTCTATGTTTATTTCAGGAAGCCAGTACTCTATATGTAGTTTTATCACTTTTTGTAATGAGCTGTGGGTTAGGCATAAAATTAGTGCAATGAAGATTGTTGTAACTTGCTGTTTAAATGTAGCTCTCTTTCAAGACTTTTCCAGGAAGACTATCATTAACTTGATATAATTGTCTGTCTCAGGGAAGGTGCTTTTAAAGACTTATGCAAAAGGAAAACAGCTGAGAGGGATTATGAGTACCAGTATTGCTAGTTGAAAAACATGAGAGGAGGTAAGCAGGGGAAATTATCATCATTTATGTATTTGTGATATTTAGATATTTTAGGCTGGCCAGTAGTTCAGCTTTAAAGCAAGGTTAAATGGGAGCCTGTTGATCAACAATAACAAGGCCAGACCACAACACCAGGAACTAATTTTCCCACTATTCATGAGATGTGCCAGGGTCCTTTAGCATCCTAAACTAACAAGTACAGAGAAGATGAGAGAGACAGGGTCTACCAATTAGGTCTACCAATTATCATCCTTATCTGAGAAAACTAGAATGTCTAACCATTTGCAGATGTCTCCTCTGTTATTTTAAGACCTTGAGTGTTGGTCTGGTCTGGAACTTGAACCCTGAACCTCTTGCACATCAATTGGTGCTCTACATCATGAGCTTACCAAGTGTGGTGAAAATCAGTTTTCTTGAATTATGCAATTAATGAAAGAAGAAAACTGCTTCTTTGATAATCAACTTTGGTCAAGGAAGAGATAAGATTTTTCTTGCTATATCCACCCTTGTGCAGCAACATTTCTATGTGACAGAAAATTACATTTTTGTTATCATTCAACACTGAAATGGGGAATGGAATTGGCAAAATCCATCTCACAGATCTTAGGAGAAGGGAAAATCCATTAAATGGAGAGACTGTAATATAATCATGATATTTCAGGATATACTCTCTGGCCAATTTGTGAAATTCTGCTCTTAAAACAGTGTTTTCTGATTAAATTTTTTTTCACTCCTTGTTAGGTGCAGAGTGCACAAGAACTGGGATCGGAACTATACAGTGATTTGGGTTACCGGTCACCTCGCCACCAAGCAGACTCGCCACCAGCGAACTTGCCACCAAGGAACGATCTCGCCACCAACGTACTCGCCACCAAGTGAAGTCTTCTCGCCACCAACCACCAATAAAGAGATAAACTAGAATAAAGTAGTTGAGGAGAGTAGGATGTTCGAACGAGCACAATTCAAATCGGCCGATACGACAACATGCGTTTATAAAGTTTGAGTACAGACAAGCGAACAAACTTATCGGTTTCGAACGTGCTTTCGACAACATACGTTTATAAAGTTTGAGTACAGACAAGCGAACAAACTTATCGGTTTCGAACGTGCTTTCGACAACATACGTTTATCTCAACTAATCTCTTTATTGGTGGTTGGTGGCGAGAAGACTTCGCTTGGTGGCGAGTACGTTGGTGGCGAGATCGTTCCTTGGTGGCGAGTTCGCTGGTGGCGAGTCTGCTTGGTGGCAAGGTGACTGGATACCGTGATTTGTTGGGTATAATAAAGAGAATCAAGGAAACTCAGAGTATCAGTACAACAAGTGAGTCCTCATTCATTATTGCTATGTGGTATTAGCAGGAGAGTTTAGGATAAAATGATGATAGATGGCAGGATCAATTTGTCAATTAGCACACAGAAAGCAGTAAGATGTAATACTATTAACACCTGTGTATAAGCAGCACTAGCAGATAAGAAGCATCTTGAGTTTGAAACTCAAAAGAAATCACATACAAGCACATGAAGTCACTAACACTGAAAATGGAAAATTCTTTTAAGCATTACCTATGATTTTAGCTGTAATAGTAAGAATAGTCATGATATCTGCTGACTAAGACTGATGTTCAACCTGTATTATTTTCGTTCCTGTCAGATTTTCTTGAGAGATTTACATAAAACAACAGCAAATCTTAAGTTCATTTGGCAGCTTGTTCTGATAGCTCAGTAAAGTGTCTGTAGCTAGGCACTTAATCAGGAGAAATTAGGTCACTAGACAAATTAGTCCATGTAGCTTTGGAGGATTAATTTCATTACAGTACACGGCATACAAGGTTATTTGTCAAGCAACATTAAAAATGTTGTAAAGAAGGTTTAATGACTCTCAATATCAAGAAATATACTCTTATGCTTTTGGTACAAGTATGTCAATTGATGACCATAAAAGCAATTGCTGGTTTGCAAAGTTGTTTGATTTTTCACCACACTTGTCTTCAGTAGAGACTGTTTCACCACACAAAACTTATCAACGTATGCTCACAAGCAACAGAAATGTCCATTCCTGTCAATCAACACCTAGCAACATTATGTAATGTAACAGAATGCACAAAGAAATAGGTTCACAACAAAACAGTGGAAGAAGGAGGCTCATTTACTAAAGAAAAAGAACACTCTTTTGTAGATAATAAAACAAATTTTATCTTCTGTTAGTAGAAAGAGGAGAAGAGGAAAACAGGTCTGAATTATAAAGGATTGACTGTATTTAAGAACAAGGAAGAAGAATGTCCAACTTGTTTTAAAGTCAAAATTTGTCTTCACTTTACCCATTATGCAGCAAAAACTTTTGATTAGTATTATTGATAAATGATAATAAAAATAATAACTACCAAGTAGTAGATCACTGCATATCATCGGCTGTGCATCATTGAAAGCTATGGGAAAACTTAAGCTGTTTTTTACCTTTTTCAGCTAATAATTTGGCTGAAACAGGTAAAAGGCAACTCTCAGTTTTCTTTTTCCAAAACTCCTGTGTTGTCTTGCTTTCTAGAATTGTCAAGGGATAGTATTAAGAAGAATTATTTTGGTTGTTAGCAAACAATTAGAAACTTGTATTTTTACCTGCTCTTTATGGCCTACCAAAAGCTCTTTATTGTAGAAATTATCATATTAACTTGAAGTCAACACCAAATTGTACATGTAACTTGAATTTGCTTTTAAACATCTTTTAAACCTCAAATAGCCAATCAGCTGGACATGGATGTCGACTCTGCATGATATCAAAGTTGGAATATAAAAACAGTGCCTTCTTTTACCTAGGTTTGCTTTCAGTAAACATAGAGGAAATCTAAATGTACTTGACAGTATTGTGCATTGACTTGAACATAGAAAAAAAAAAACATGGAGATGGCCACTCTTTTCATCTCCCCCTGACATCTTTTACAACAGTGTACAAAGTTTCAATGGAAATCTGTGACAAGTTCTGTTTGTAGATTACCACCTTAAACACTGATTACGTTTCAAACCAACTGTGAGTGTATTTTTTATTTGTCCAACATGAGCAGGCTGCAATACTTTAAGAACTATTTTCTTTTGGAAACCAAGTCAACAAAAATTGCCTTAAGCAATATTGTCAAGGTTTTTATAATAATCATTACCAATGCCATTGCTGTTGCTATTTTCATAACCATTACATTGTAACATTGTCATCACTAATTGCTATTTCCATTGTCACTGCCATTACTATTGCTATTGGCATTGCTTTAACCCTTGCTTTTTCTATTATCCTTTAACCATTGCCATTTCCAATGCTATTGATAGTGCCTTTTTTATTTCTGTTTCTGCTGCCATCACAATTTCTTTGCCAATGCCAATGCCAATTTTTGTACCATTTGATTGCCTTTACCTTAATGACATGTAATATCATTATCACTACCTCTATCATTATCACAATTTATATTATTATTATTATTATTGTTATTATTATTATTATTATTATCCTTGGAAGGTATTTTGAGTTTCTTTTCAAAAATTTTTTACTTCACTGTGTTGGACAGCATAGGAACAACACAGCAGGTTTTAATTTCTTCAAGGAGTTGAAAATCTTCGGAACTAATTTCATAATATTAATCAAAAACAGGAGTGATCAGTCGACATAGTGAGTATTTTCATTGAGATGTTGATAAGAACATGGTTCTCAGTTTTTCTTTTACAATGAATGATGACCAAGCATTAAAGGCTATCGTTGTTTGACAGATAAAAACAAATATGGTTATTTTTTCTCCTTTCTTATGGCATTAGTTCAGTGATATCCACTTGTATATTTTCTTGGTTATTTTATCGAGACAATCTATACGTACTTATGGAAGACTCTGTGATCATTGATTTCTGTTGGTACAGACAGAGATTGATTTATCATGACTTGACATTTTTGAAAATGTTAAGTTATGCTAATTTATAGAGGGCTAAGTTCGTGTTTTGCATCGGAAATTCACAAAACAGTGCTAAAAAGGCTATTTAGTTAACGTTAGTCAGAGTTAAGATATTCCACTTTCGGTAAGATTTCTCATAGGTCCATACTTCATAATGCATACAGCTCTTGCTTTCAGGAAACAATGGTGAAATCAATGGCGAAATCAATAGAATTGCCTCTAATTCAATTTGCTTTGTTGTAGTATAGTAGGAGGCTGTGCTGAAATCTTACCCCAGTTTTTCTTATGCTTCCTGTGTGCTGATATTGTGTTGTGTGGATTTGGATAAACATAAGCGAATTTTAGAGCTATTTTATATAGGCAGGGAGAGAAAAATTAATTAATTAACTAACTTTCGCTCGGTTGTTTGGCCTTCACGGTATTATGTCACCTAGTCGCGAGGGAGCAAAAAATCGTTGAAATTCGTGCCAATTTTTATTTAGCGTCTTAATTTTGCGGACTAAGTAAACTCTACCCAAAATGTTCATTCAAAGTTTATGCATGGAAGACTACTAAAGCAAGTAGATTTTATTAGTAAGCATTGTAAGCAAAACGTTGAACTAGAACAACAGATTGCCTTCAGGACCACGGCTTTGTTTTAGAATAGTAGGGCATGGGGTTAGAAGGAAATCTTTCGGCCAAGAAAGAGCGTAGATGTAAATTTAACTTAGCAAAGGAATTTGCAAAATACTACCCTGTTTCTAAAGTCTTTTTTGGAATATTTGTCAGTCATTTATCAGAGCTACAGCTCAAAAACGAAATTTAAACAAGCAAAACTAAATACGCCCAGGTACGCTTCACCGATGCCACTTCATAGCTAAGAAGAGCATTTAGGATAATATGTACGTAAATATTCTTGTGATACTAAATGCAAATGAACTGTCATTAATGTTGTTTTTCAGTATATTTACTCTGAGGCATCAAGAAGAAGCAAAGAAAGTCAAGCCCATCACCTTCACTTCAAGGAAATCCTTCTTCTTCGGCGAATCTGGTTTTTAACTCAAGGTAGCTTTTTATTTATTTTTTTTTGGGGCAAGAATACTCAAACTAGGTGTCGTGACTTTGGGACTCGGCCGCGAAGAAGTATTTCTTTAGGTTACTCATTATTCAAGTTCAATTGGCAAAGTTCGAAAGGAAGCAAATTGTGGAGTCAAGTAATTTTTCTTTTCATTATTGCTGTCAGTTTGTTTCCATGATTCTTATTTCATTTCTATGGTAACATCTGGTTAAATGGATTTAATTTTCCCGCCAAAAGACTTAGAAAAATACAGGCGCCCAAAATACGCATGCGCCGATTTTTTTTTTTTTAAATTTTCAAAAGTATATTTTATTCAATGTATTATTGCTTCGTAAAATCAAATAAAAGTTATTTGCTTGTCTAGTCTCTTTTATATTTATTTTACGATAAAGACTCAATAAAATAACAGATTTTCTCTTTATTGTTTCAAGTAAAGCAATTCATTATACAAAGACAACAGTTGTGTTTCATTTCAGTAATTTTTTTATTCAAGTCAAAATATTTTAATTAGTTAATTGAGTTTCGATTAAATAATTAAAAGGTGTCTAGAAAAAAAATTCGTCTATATATTAAGACTTTTGGCGGGAAAATTTGATCCAGTTTGCACAGAGTTTCCCCTGACAACTATTTTGACAAAAAATTTAAAGAGGATCCCCATAAGACTTTTTGACAAACAAAAAATTTTACAGGCTACAATTACACATTTTCCCGCCAACTAAACTATTGCACCTCCTTGCACAAGTTTGAATTTTGTCAAATTTAGACTGTTCTTTTTGTTTTAAGTAATGTTTGCCAAAAAGTCCTCG